AATAACAACTTTTTGATGAGTAACAGCTTATGCTAGAAAATATGCTAAATCTGCCAATAATCCACGGGCCATTAATAAATTTAAATATTGATAAAATAGATATACAGTTGTATTTTTATATTATTTTAAGGTGTTATATAGTTTAAAAATCATATAATTTTATATCATGGGTTTAGAGATTGGAGCATTTCCAGGGAAAAATAATTAAAAACTTTAAATTTTCAAAAAAAGATTTATCTTAAAAAGTTTAATTTTAGTTTAAAATTAAAATAATCTAATTCAGCTTTCAAATTTTTTTTATCCTTAAATGAAGTTTTTTTAGTATCATAATAACGAGAAGAACTTAAATATAATTTAAATGAATTAGCTAATAAGGTTTAACTAATTTAGCACAATTAATAGTTTCTCCGGATTATTTTTTTGCAAAACGGATTCGCGCATATCAGATAAGTAATATACCGATCACATTTTGATGTATGAAATTAAACATAGATTACTTTGTGATCAATTGAGTTCACAGCTCTCACAACAATTGCCACATATATATTCCCAGCTCAAAATGTCACATATAGTACTTGAAGAAGTTACAAACTTGGAAATATTAAAATTTGCATATAAAGCTCATTCTGAATCATGGAGTGGATTATTATCATCAGAACAATATATTGATAGAGAATTACAATTAAGATCTCAATCTAAACAATTACAAACTGATACATCACCATATGGATTATTTCTTTATATATTAAGAGACCTTCAAATCCCAAGTGAAAATGAAACTGATAATATAGTAACAACTGGAGAGGTATTAATTAGAAAATCTTGGAGAATTGATGGTGATGATGTTGAAAATTTAAAAATTGTTAATTCTGGAGTTATTGGTAACGTATTTACATTAAAAAATCATAGAGGAAAAGGATATGCTACTCAATTATTTCATAAATTGAATGAATTATTGGATGAAAAATTGGGTAAAGATGGTTATTCATTTCTTTATAGTGAAGTTGGTACTTATTATGAAAAATTTGGATTTAAAAATTTTAATATAAAGACTCATACAATTTCAATTAAAGATTACAAGATAGATGATGAACATTTATCCAATACTGAACCCTTAAAACTTCATAAATATAAAGATTTAATCAATTATCAAAAAGATAAACTAGAGAAATCATTCTTACAAAAAGCAAAAACTTTACCAAAAGATGAATCAATAATATCATTAATACCAAACGTTGATATCTATGATTGGATTAATGAAAAAGATCAATTAATATCTACAAAACTATTCCCAAATTCAAAAGTTGATAATTATGGTATCTTGGATTTAAAGACTAAAAATCATTTTATTTGGTTACATGATTTTTCATCTAAAAAGTTATATATTATTAAAAGTTTCATTAATGAAGAATCTAATGATATTGAGTCACTCAAAAATTTAGTATATGGTACAATCAAAGAAGCTCAATTATATGGAATTGAAAAAATTCATTTTTGGGATACTTCAATTGGACAAACTTTAAAATATCATGATCTTATTATTGAATGGTTTAAAACAGAATTTAATGATTCAAATATATCACTTTTTGAAGAAATCGATTCAATACCTGCAATTAGAATGAATGATGGTAAATCTGGATTGAAAATTCATTGGGAAAATAATGAAAAATGGTCTTGGTATTAAATTATATATGAATGATTATAATCTACAAATTAATAATATTTTTTTCCCCAAGAAAAATTGTATACATTTGATCTAAACAATTGAAAAATCAATAAACACCCCTATAATAAAACACATAACATAACCGATAAGTATCTAAAGAATAAAATAAAATAAAATCCAATAATAAAATAATCAAACTCAAAGAACTAAATCACTAAATTCATTAAAAAAACCCATTTCTTTCTTGTTCATAATCATACATTAGTTTCCATCACTTCGATTCATCTCAATGATGTTCATTTGAAGTTGATGATAATTGTGGTAAATCTAAACTTCTTAAACTTGGTAATGAAATATGACTACCATTTTGACCATTACTCAGTTCAGTAGCACCCAGCTTTGGACTTTGTAAAGGTGTACTTAAAGGAGTTTCATTAAGATGAAACATAGTTGGTGAATTTGGTCTTGATTTTTTTCTAATTGGTTCTTCAACAGTTGAATGCGAAGAATGATGATTTCTTGAAGGTGTGAAATTTGATGTAGTTATTGGAGTCATTCTTTTCAATGTTGAAAGAGCATTTAATGGATTTCCACCACCAGTTGCAGTATTCATTGAATATAATGAAGTTGATGAATTTGATTTTGACGACAGAGCACTTATATTTGTTGATGAATTATTATTTGATGAAAACAGAGAAGAAGTTTGGAATGAAGATGATGAATTTGATTTCAGAATCTTTGGTGGTGATTGAATATTTGGCAGGTGAATTTGTTTTGATTGGAAAAGTGAAGGTTGTTGTTGTGCTTGTGCTTGTTGTTGTGATTGAGATTGAATAGGTGCCATTTGAGTTTGAGCTTGTTGAGGTTGAGGTTGATAAATATGCTGAGTAGGTTGTGGTTGAGGTAATTGCTGTACAGTTGTTGGGAATTGTTGGATTGGTAATGTTTGAACTGGGATTGGAACTTGATGAATATAGAAATGAGGAACCTGTTGAACTGGGATTTGATTTGGTGGTTGATTTGGTAATTGTTGCATTTGAACACCAGGAGCACCAGCAGCAGCAAATTGTGGTTGATTTGGAGGTTGGACATAATAAGTAACTGGTTGATTCAAATTCTCATAACTATTACTTTTACCATTCTTCTTCAATCTTGTATTTGAATGAATTCTTGTGTGTCTAGTCAACTCATCTGATCTACTAAACTTCTTTGAACAAAAATTACACTGGAATGGTTTTTCACCTGTATGAATTCTCATATGTCTAGTTTGATGTTCCAATCTATGGAAGGCTTTTGTGCACACTGAACAGACATAAGGTCTAGTTGGATCGTTATTTGTAGCTGGGGAAATATTAGCATTAGCAGTGGAATCAGCAGCTTTGTTAACTGTGCCTTTGACCATTGTGTAGCAATAATTTGATGTTGTTTCCGTTGTTTTGCTGTTGTTTTAAAAAGCTGATGTTGAAGTTGCCGCTGTTGTCAAAGGTGTTTAATTTCATGAAAATGGACATTGATACCCTTTTATTCGATTTTGTATTTCTCAAAAACTTCGGAAAAACTTTTCCCATGGAAATGAGTCTGAAAGGCGGTTCGGGACACAGTGCAGTGTGGGACCGGAAAAAGTCCTGTGAAAAAGAAATTACCAAGCTGGTAGGTAGGCTTATAAAGTACTATACCACTAATAATAATAAAGAACAAGTGTACTACTACTTTCCCCCTAATATTGTCAGCTAATAATATAATAATATCTTCACTGCCACAGTGATCATTTTCCTCATTTTATCCGTATATTTTTCCAAGGATTTTAGACTGGTCTATTCGAACATCAAGAATTGGTTGGAACTACCCCATGGAGATGTAGATTATATCGTCATCCGAAATATTATTGAGCATATAGGATCGTACTACTCGTAGTTTAAGGATACAGGGGTTATATAAGAATAGAGAGCAGAAATAGACAGCGTTCGTAAGAATCAGGATTGATGGAATGATCAATGTCAAACATCTAAAATATTACATCTATATCTCTGTCTTAAATAAATGGTACTTAATGAGCATTTCATTTTTAAACCTTAAACCAGCTCCCCAAACAAAATCATGCAACTCCCACAAATTGCACAATCAATTTCTGAACACTAAACTCCTAAACCGCGCAAGTCCTACAAAAAAAAGAAACCTGATGAAACGGACCGATTTTCTTAGTCTGGGACTCGCACATTTATCTGTACTTCGGAAAAACTTCTTCAAGGTTTTACAAAACCTTAGAAAACGAAATTTGCGCCGATTCTGGGGAAAAATATTCGGCAAGACTCTGGGGGTTGTAAAATAGAAGGACTAGACCATATAACTCATTAAACTCATATAGCCTATAAATATATGTAACACGCAATAATATTAATAAATGACTGTAGTTCAAACTTTAAAGTACTAAACAACTACAGTATATCGTATAACCGTAGCCGATAGTACTTAACAACCGTCATAGACTATTCCAGATGACTATGCTCACGTTCTCCCACTAGCTTAGCGCTTACTGCTCAGGCTACAGATTGTCAACCTTTAGAAATTAACTAAGCGTGATCATTAATCTTTTTGCTATCTTGTGGTGGTGTGCGCCGCTATTTGCCTAGCTTATATCACAGAATCCAGATTCTTCATTGCTCTAGTTTCTAGAGTTTATTTTAAATTATTCACTCTCCTTTAATTTGTTTGTACTATATTTTATTTATAACCTGTGCTTGTAAGTTGTCAGGTGTAAATAGCGATCTACAATATAATAAGAAAAGTGAAAACCTTTTACCCACGTAATAGCATACAGGATATAAGTGGAAATTTGTGTTTAAGTGAAGATCTTTACCTTATAATTTTCATGTATGATTTGCTGGGGAACATCGAAAACGTCATCTACTATTAGTACACGGTACTTATACATACCATTTTTTTTTTAACAAATGAAAGGCATAATTTATTAAAGGTACGTGTTCAGCTGTAACCAATTACAATCCAAGGAAGCCAATATACCTAAAGGCTAATGTTTGTCTTTGATACACTGTGTAAAATATTGTATTTTAATAAAGTCGCTTATATACGTAAGTCATGGTGCGCCGCTACACTTATTTGTAGCATTACGAAAAGTGGACAGTCGACACTAAAAATAGGCGCTTCAACTTATTGATACACTTAAATTAAATTAGGTTCTAAGTTTCTTAGCCTCTAGGCAATACGAATTTTAATATAGGCTTTAATTAATTAGAGTTTCCATAGAAGAAATTACCAGGACGTCTTCGATCCTTCAAACCTTATAGATGTATCCGTGAAATTCCATAACCTGTAAAGTTTATTACGAAGTTTTGGAAGTTAACTCTAACTATAAATTTAATATGATGTAATGTTGTTCTAGAAAGAGTAAAAAGCATAAAGTCTACATATAAAGACAATTAAGTACACTGTAAGGTACCCATCTGGGGTATGGGGTATGGGGTATGTAGGTACTATCATAGGAGAAGTGCTGAAAACTTATAGAAGTTTAGAAAGACAACAAGTTTGCTTTTTACTTGAGGTCTAAAGTCTAAAGTTAAACCTCAAATCAAACAAATAAAGTAGATCTGCAACAACTTTAATTGATTCGGAAAATTCTCTCATTCGAAGCAAATATATACAACCAGCTATAACGTATACATGATGATCAGAACTTTAATATTATGATTAGCACTAAAGATCGCAAGCTTTATGAAGCGCTAGAAAAAATCCACATCAGAGCGCCGTAAACCATATAGGGACGTCTTCAATATACAATATAATATGGGTTGACAATATGCCTTGATTCTAAAACCGGTATAAATGGATCTTTTACCTCACCAGCATGAATTCCAGGTTTGAAAAATACCGATTATTTAACCGGCTCATGAAAATAGATTTACAATATACAGTCAAATAGAAAATGATGTCTTTTTTCATGGTTATAATCAGTCTAGAATCGATTCAATATTGTATGATTAAATTGATATTGGATCGTATGTTATATAAATTTCGAATATTTCAATACCTATCCTCACACAGTTTCGACCATCAATATGAAACTTCAAGAACATAAAAATGTTAAGAATATCATCAATGAAGCTTGGCCTAAAAATTAGTTGAGTACAATTTTACTCCACATAAAGGTAATGAATGGTGTGTGATATGTCATATTGTGTTTCTGTGTATTTAATTGTTGTATATCATTATAAATGGCTATTCGAACCGGTTATTACTTTAATTATACAATAAATATAAATGTCATTTATTAACGAACCATTGAAATTTCTATCTATATGATTTCATAATGATCAAATTGGTTCATATGTTTTTTTATATACAACTCTATGATTTCATAACGTTATTTTTTTTTCATTAGCTTTAATTAATTGTGATAATCTTGTTGAATTAAATGTAAAATTTTCATCAACATTACAAAAAGAATCAATGGTTAATTCTTGAGCTGTTGGTCTTTTATTTGCATCAATTGCAAAACAATTATCCAAAAATTTTTGTCCATCTTTTGAAACATTTGGTAAAACATCATCAGGAATTGGTGGTGCACTTTTTGATTTACCAATTTTAAACATTGCAGATATTGCTTCTAAATTTGACCATGGTCTACGACCTGCAAACATTTCCAGTACAACACAACCTAATGACCAAATATCAACTTTTGCACTATAACCTTCTCTACTATCAACAACTTCTGGTGCCATCCAAAAAATAGTACCTTGCATTGACATTGCAGCATCATTTGCATAAATATCATTTGATTTTTTAGAAATACCAAAATCTGAAATTTTACATACACCATCAAGATCTAATAATAAATTATCAGCTTTCATATCACGATGTAATATACCACGAGAATGTAAATATGATAAACCTTTTAAAACTTGTGAAGTTAAAAATCTAATTAATGGTTCTTCAAATTTACCATAGAGTCTTAAACATGAAGCAATTGAACCACCTGCAACATATTCTAAGAATAAATTATATTCTTTTTCAGTTTGTTCAAAACCTAAATATTGAACAATATTTAAATGATCTAAATCTTTTAAAGTTTCAACTTCAGATTTCATTGCTTCAATAACTTCAGAAATTTTATTATTACCTTCTGAATAATTTTTTGGTTTTAAAACTTGTTTAACTGCAATCATTTCACCAGTTGTTACATTTAATGCTAAATAAACATTACCAAATGTTCCCTTCCCAATTAAATCACCTCGAATCCAACTAAATTGTTTAAATTCACCCCTTGAACTTCTTAATTTACTTAAATATTGAGTTTGATTTGGTTTAACTTCAATAACTTTTTTCCCCCACATTTTAGTACTTTGTCTTCTAACTAGAGTTGAATTATTAGAATTATTATTTGTATTATTATTTGAAATATTTTGATGAATTGTCCTTCTTATAGATTCTCTTTTTCTTGCTTCACCAGCTTCTCTTGCAACAGCTCTAATAGTTTTAACTCTATGAGGTTTAGCTAGTTTTTCAATACCATCTTCATCAAATGAAGTACTACTTATAACCCTTTTAGTAAACTGATCAGATCCATTATTGGAGAATTTCTTCTTTACTTCAACATTTGGTGAAGTTGGTGGTGTAACATCAACAACTGGTTGATCTAAATTTGCATTAGGGAAAAATTTTTCTAAATTATCATAAAGAACTTCAGGTGCAGGTCTAACAACCATTTTAGAAATTTCAGGTGTTTCAGGTGTTTCAATTTGTTCAACATCATTAGGTTTATCATCATGATCATTATTATTATTAGCTTCATTTTTTTCAAGATCAGTTGGAGCTTTTGCCCAAAAATCATCATCTGAATCATCATCACTTGTTTCATCGTCCAATGTAGGAGCATCATCAAATGATATAACATTTTCTTGAAATTTATCTCTTGCATTTTGAGAAAATTTTCTTGTTATTGATCTTTTTATAGTATTATTTCTATTCCTCAAAATACTTGATTTTCTTGATATATTATTACCATCATTAGCTCTAGATATTGTAGTTTTTGATCTTTCAAGTTCATTTCCTCCTTCTTGTTTTTGCTTTTGTTTCTCCAATTCTTGATCAAATTCAAATACTTTTCTTGAAGCAGGTGAAATACTATCAGAACTTCCTTTATAAGGTTCAGGAACTAAAGTATTACTTGAACCAGGTGTATAAGAAGCAATATAAGTTCCTTCATTACTAACAGATTCTTTAACAGGGGTTAATAAAGATTTTTCATTATATTTTGATGATTGTTTTCTTAATAGTGGAGGTGGAGGTGCACTTCTTTTAGCAATAAAACTATTTTGTGGTCTTGCAAATGGTGATTCTCTTCTTTTATCAAAATTAATTTCAGGTCTTTCTTTTGGTCTTATAACTCTAAATGAACTTTTTTCATCATTTGTTCCAGGGTTTGATGTTTGATTAATTGATGATTTAGGTTGTGGTAAATTTGAAGTACTTAATGATTGAAGATTTCTTGATAAAGGTGGTGGATTTATAATAATTGGTGGAGATCTTGGATTTATATTTGAAATTGGTGGAGTAATTCTTGTGTTCAATGATTTTGATGAAGATAATCCCGCATTACCACCATTATTACTATTTGGTGAAGTTGAAGAATTTGTTGTAGTAAAATTTTTAAAATTTAAATAATCAACTTCTCCCGAAGGTTTATTTGAACTAATATCATAAAAATGTTGAGGAGTATTTGGATATAATTTATCTTCACCTTTTGTTTCAAATGATTGAGAATCTGAAAGACTTGTATTTGATATAGAAGTTGAATTTGTTATTGTGGAAGTTAAATTATTATAATCAATTGGTGAAATAAATAATTTTATTGAACAATTATTAAAATTTTTTTGAATAATTTCATTTAATGTTAAATCATCTAATGCTTCACCTTGAGTGGAACCAAATTCTGTTAAATGAATTGAAGCATCAATACAATTTGGATCAATTTTTTTAAATAAATGAGATTTTAAACTTGTTAAATCATTAATATCACCAATATTTATAGGTTGGAAAAATTCATTATCTTTTGTAATTAATATATATTTATCAGAATTTTTATTATTTGGAATTGGTAAAAATTGTCTATCAATAATTAAAGGTTTAAAATTTAATGTATCATTTGATTTTTTCTGTTCAAGTTTTGATTTTTGTTGTTGTTGTTGATCATGTTGTTGTTGAAGATCCACTGCACTCATTGATATTGGACTTACAGGAGATTGTGTACCTTTTCTTAAAATTGGTTCTTTACTTTTAGATCTATCATTTCTTAATCTAAATTTACTTAATAAACCTTTTGATTCATTATTATCATTTTTAGAAATAATACTTGATCTTTTATTATCATAATCTTTGTTAAAATTTTGTAAATCAATATTATTATCTTTATCTTTTGATGATGAAGTAGTTCCAGTTGTTCCTGATGTTGTATTATTCCCAGAATTTGGTAAAATTGAACTAAATAATGAAGATTCAGATGAACTTGATTTTTGATGTCTTCTGAAAAAGCCATGACCATGATGTGAATGATTTGAAAAAGCTGGTGAAACAGGTGAATAATTTGATGACCACATATTTTTTGATGAGTGTTCATAAGTTGAAACAGGTCTTCTTTTAGTATTAACTCTTGTTAATCTTTGTTGTGGATGTAATGGAGGTGGATTATTTGCAGGATTCATTGGTGGATTAAAACGAGAATCTTGAGAAACTTGTTGTGAAACAACTTGTTGTTGTTGTTGTTGTGGTATTGGTGGGACTGAAGGTATTTGAGGATCTTGTAGGTTATTTGAAGGTATAAATAATTGTGGAGCTGAAATTGTTGGAACTAATCGATCATTATCTTGTAATGAATTAATATCATCATTGTCATCATTATTTTTGAAATTTAATTCACCAATAGAATTTGCAGGACTTGATTTTAAACTATCAAAAGAAGGAGAAGAAGAATTAAAACTATTATTATCATTGTTTGGAATTGGTTCAATTGTATTTGTAAAAGTGGAATATAAAGGAGATGAAGTATTTATTGTAGTTCCACTTGAAGATAAAGGTTTATCTAAGGTTTTCCTTAATAAATGAATAAACCTTGATTGTGTAGAGTCATTAGAAGTTGATAATTCTTTTTTTAAATTTTTTAAGTTTTGATAATTTGTCATTGATAAAAATTTTGAACCTATAATATCATGTTTTATGAAAGTATTTGACCAAGTTTCATTAAATTGATGTAATTCTAACCAATATACGACTCTTTCTATAGTCCATTCATTTGGATTATTAACAGCCCAAGAAATTGAAGAATTTCTACTATGAGGAGATTCTTTCGGTATTATCGAACTTCTTTTAGTTTGTTGATTGAAATTTTTGATATTTGACGAAGGGCTATCAGGATAAGAAGCTGGACTTGTGTTGAAGAAGCTGAATTGATTAATTGAACTATTTGTTGAATCATTATAAAGTTCATTAGTAGTGCTAATATTGGTATTGATATTGGTATTATTGATATGTGAATTGAAACTTGTATTTGGGGTTGAAGTTTGAATAGTCAATGGAGGTTTAGGGGACGTTGAACGTGATCGTACCTTGGGTAAAGATAATTGTGAAGGTGTAGTTAATTGATCATTATTTATGAAATTTGTTGAATTATTTGCAGTGACAAAACTTGAAGAATTTGCAGTTGTTTGATTTTGTAATTGAGATTGATTTTGGAAACCTGAAAAGGAAGATTGATCCATAGAGGTATCTATTGGTGTTGTATTGTTATAATTTGTATGATATGTTGGTTCAGAATTTGTAGATATGATTCTTTTATGATGTTTTTGATTTATTGGACTTGGACCTCTTGTTATTGATTCAAAACTAAATTTAGACGCGTCACCTTCACTATTGAAAGAACGATCAGCAGCAGAGGAAGCAACAGCAGCATTTGGTTTTTCAAATGATTCAAATGATTTTATACTTGAAGAAGAATATTTTCTTGCCTTTTCAGCTGGTAAATAAGGATTAATTTTATCTTTTGTAATTTGAGAATTGATATGATTTGTATTATTGATATAAGGTACAGAATCAATCAAAAAGTCTGGAATTTTGTCACTGGCTCTTCTTGAGTCCTGGTTGTACCTGTCACCAGCCATAGTTAGCAAATATCCAGCACCTGTGTAGCTTTTAGCAGTCTTTCTGATGGTTTTTTGATTGTGTCTTTTAGTGATATTTTGTTTTTGTTTACTGTTTTGACCAGGTAATAAAATCCAATTGATTCTGGCAACAAACGATTAACAGATCAACGGAAAAAGTGAGCAGAAGATTGGAAGAACTGAAGGTTTATATATTATGAAGTCAGTTGATTTGAAAAGAGACTCTTTGACTTAAATGAGAATACTTTTACTGAAAATAAACTACTTTTATGAATATTTTTGTATATTTAATAGTAAAAGGTATAACCAATATCCGGTTAAGCCAACACCAATTCTTTTCACGTAGTTTCAAGTCTTTAGTTTTTGTTGGATACAACCATGAATATTTTGAAAAGTGATCTTTCATGTGGACGACATATCTATGATAATCTAGGATATGTTTCTTCCAGTAAGAGGGTATGAATTAGAGAGCCTTTCTGTGTTGATAGTGTTCTTTTGAAACTGTCTGAATATTCAGTGTATTGGAAAGTCTGTGTTGATACCAGTACTTCATACATTATGGATTTATTCAATCATTATACCAAAGCATAGTGATATTATATTCATACCATTCTTTTAAAGTTTAATTCATTGGTCACTTAAGAGATAGATGATTACTTTTTAAGCATTTGGTATATGATTTTTTTCTTAAAATATACATTTTGAACCCTTTCAAAGCTTATGTAGTACTACAATATTCATATTATTTACAAGATATATATATATTGGACTAATTACTAGTTTTAAATCTATTTCAATTCAATTTCTGTAACTCTAACTAAAGTTTTGTGAGGTTTACTTATAGCATGACGAACTCTTCTATTTCTTCTTTTGGTAACTTCCGTTATTCTCATTGGCATCTTGGTTTTTTCAATAACAACACCTTTAACACTAATTAAATTAGTATCAATTGGATCATCATTTAATGTGAAATTACGACTACCAACACATGAAACATCTGTAAAATTTAAAATATCACCAACTTCTGCAGTTTTTAAATGATATGGTAATGTCATTATATCACCTTTTGTAACTAAAAATGGATTTGAATGAACTTTAACAATAGCATATAATTCATTAGATAATTTTAAAGGCCATAATGAATCTTGTGATACTGATGATGATGATTCTTTAATTTCTTGATTGAAAATTGGTGTTGTTGTTGTGGTATTTGATGCATTTTGATTAAATAAAATTGATGAATTGTTGAAAAAACGTGTAGAGACTGGTTTTGTGAATGATTTTCCCACTAAAGGTTGTCTTATGGAGCTTCTTAGAGCTGATCTAAAGAGACTGTTCATTATGATGATAATATGACTATGAAATATCTTTGTCTATTCAATATTTCATGATTTTCCACTTAATTTTATAAATTTTCAATGTTTTTTTCCCAACCAAGTATAATTTTGAAAAATCGAGAAAAAATCGAGGAAATGTCCTAATCGGGTAGTATTCCGAATCGGGAAGACACACTATTATATTATAATTTACAAAAACATAATTTTAATTATTTGCCTATATTTATATTTTGAATATAAATTATTTAATATTCTATCACTTTTATTTACAAGTATTATATTCTTAATTTTCCTTTTTTTCATTTAAAGATCTTAATGCTCTTTTTCTTTGTTTTAACATATGAGTAAATAATGTATAAAATCCAGGTACATAAACACCAATAATTATAATTAATAACCATTTATACCAAGCACCAACAACTAATTTAGCTTCATTTAATGATAAGATAATCATAGATATTTCACTTGCAACACCACTTGGATAAAGTATAAAAAATAAATTATATCTTAATAAAGTTAAAATTTTTGCAGGTTTACCATTTGTTGAAATATTTTGTGCATAATATAAATATCTAATAATTTCAGTAATTGACCATGATAATGATAATGTAATATAACTCCAATGTGAATTTGCTGGTGAATTTGGTAAAATTTGGAAAATTCCATAAACAACTAATAATCTTGAAGAAACTTGTGATAATGTAGTTAAAATTGGTGATTTAACAATACCAACAGCAGAATTATAAACTTCAACTAATGCTAATGTCTGAATTACTGTAGTTATTCTATTGGTTTTTTCAAATAATAATGGTTGACCTAAAAATAATGATAAAAAAATTGTATTAAATAAAACAATACTCCATAATGAAGCTGATGCTTGATTATATAAAACTAACCATCCTTGAGTTTTTTGTTTTTTTGAATCTTTGGAATCAACCTTAGCTTTGACTTCTGCAGACATTTTTATTGATCAATGGCAATTTGAAAGGTATGTAAACTGATCAAAAGTTTGAAATATTTCAATTTGATTTCTCCTTTTCGTTCAAAAACATTTTTGTTGGATTCTCCGGTAAAATAAATTATTTGATTCGCGAATTAATAATTTAACCGTGATTTATATAACAATTTATATTTAATCAACTACAATTCAAGTAATCTATATGCTACAATGTATATTATTGATATTTTACTTAAATGGTCTATAATATGGACGAAAACTGGAAACGAAATGGTATGAAATGATATGAAATTATATGAAATGATATATGATACATGAAATTTTAAACAGAAATGAAATAACAAAACAAAGATTGATGATAAGAATCAAAAAACAGCAGCATCATGAAAACAAAAAGACATTTATCGTTAAAGATGAAAATTGTTTATAGTTTATAGTTTATTTTTTGGTTATTGATTATTCTTCATATAACTTGCAACATTAATTAATCGATCTTGTTCATCTTCATCCCAATTTAATTCACCTTTACTTCTACTTCTTGTTAATCCATAACCAACTTCACCATCATCTTTTTCTTGCTCTTCATCTTCATCATCATCATCATCTTGATCATCTTCATCTTCTTTATAACTATCTCTAAATAATTTATTACGTTCATCATCTTCAAAATTTTCATCATCATCTTCTTCATCATCATCTGCAAATCTTGGAGGTTCTCTATCATCATCTCTTGAAGTTAACATATTTGAATATAATGGATGATCTTTTTTAATATAAGATTGTCCATCATCATTTGGATCTTCATAATCATCATCATCATTCATAGACATTGCATTTGAATTATAAACTTGTTGATTATTCCATCCAACAAGATCATCATCTTCTTCATCTTCATCTGATGATCCAAATTTATCTGGTAAATCATTTGTTAATTGTTGTGACATATATCTTGAAAATTGATCACCTGAATCTTCATTTTTATTTTGATTTCCTTCTTCATCTTCTTCATCATCATCAATATCATCTCTTCCAGAAATATGATAATCATCATCAACTTCTCCAGGTATAACTCCTTGTTGATTTTGTTCATTTTGATCTTGTTCATTATCATCAACAGTTTGATTTGGATCTTCTGGTTCTAAATTACCACCTAATAATGCATTATATTTTTCTCTTGTATCAACTAAAGTTTCTGTAACATATATAGTCCATTCTTGAGTTGAAACTGCATCATAAATAATTTGATGTATTGTATTTGGTGGATATAATGCAGTAAATTTAACAACTTCTTCAGCAATTAAAGTTAAATGACCCATATAACCTAATCTTAATCCATTATTAATTTCATATTGTTCACAATTTAATTGTCCATCAATTATGGCTTTAGTGATTTCTCCACGACCAAATAAATCAATTGATAAATATTTATTATAACCAATATCCATTGAACCATTTAAAATTTGTTGAACAATATCAAAAACAACATTATGTAAAAAATTATTCCAAGGGAATTTGAAAAACATTTGTAAAATTGTTAAAATAACTTGATTATCAGCCAATGCAATTTTTAATTGATCACCAATAACTGGATCTTTACGAATTATTAATTCATTTTCATCATATTGAATTTCTAAAGTTGTATCAACATCTGAATCTGGTTCTGATTGAATTTCTAAACTTGGTTTTTTTTCAGATTTATTACTTTCAATAGATTTAATTGATTTTATATCTTCCTTTTTATCAGATTTTTCTTCATCATCATCAACTTCTTCATCTTTTTGTTGATCATCATCATTTTTGGTTTCATCAGATATATTTAAATTATCAATGACTTTTGAAGCTTCATGATCAGAATCATCTTCATCATCTTCAACTTTTTCATTTAAATTTTCATCATTTGGGAAATTTTCATCTTGTTCATGTTGTTCTTCTAATTTTTCCAATGTAATGATTCGTTCTCTTTCTAAATCACGTTCTAAAACAATATCTTCACCTTTTTCATCATTTAATAATCCCATATTTGAACAATGTAATAATTCTGCAATTAATTCACAAACTTTAAATCTTTCAAAACCTAAAGGTTCAATTGAACCAAATGGAGTTTCCATTTCTTTTAATTTAGTTTTTTGTAAAATTTTAGCAAATTTTGGAATATTTTCACTGAAAACTTTAATTAAATGACCTAAATAAATTGAATCTCTTGAAGTTGGAGGATGTGATTCAATTGTAATATATAATATTGGTACAAAATCATAATCTGAATTGTTTTTTCTAATGATTTCAATTATTATACCAACACCATTTGCTAAACTTGTACCACCTAAAAGCATTAAATTACATAATTTTCTCATGATTTTTTCAGAAACTAATTCTCTTGTTAATTCATTTGGTCCAATTGTTGTATTATCAGTATTTGAATTTGCACTTATTGTAACAAAAGCTTTTATAAAATCTCCTGCAGCAGATTGAACAGATTGATTAACATTTGGTTTTAAAAATGAAATTAATTTTTCAATTAAATTTTGTTCTTTTAATAAATCAATTATACCAGTTGGAGAATCAGGTTTATCAGTACTTATAACTTTTAATAAAAAATCCATTAATGGAGGATTATCAATATGTCTTAAGAATCTATCAACTAAAGTTTCTTGATTTAATAAAAAATTTAACATTTCATCAATTTTTAAATCTAATAATCTTTCATTAATCTTCATAAAATAAGTTGATAAATTCATTGATAATGAAGAAGATCTATCTAATATACTCCATAATTTTGATAATAAATCATGATTATCCATTATTGAATCAGTTAATGACCAAGCATCTGCACCTAATATTTCAGCAGCAACTTGAGTTCTTCTTGAATGAATTTCTTGAATAGTTTCAGGTTGATCAAAATTTTGTAAATCATCAGAATCAGAATCAGAATTTGATGAATTTATTGATTTATATTGTTCTTCATTATCGTTATTATTTTGTTCTTCTTTTTCTTCTTTTTGTTCTTGTTGTTCATCATTATCTTCGTTATTATTTTGTTGATGTTTTGCTAATAAATCATCTTCTTCAGTGATTATATATTGAATCAATTGTTCAATGACTTCTCTTTGTCTTAAATATTCAATTAATTTAATATTTGATTGAGCTAATTCTTCTATAATATCTTGTTCATCTAATAATTCATCTAAAATTTCTAAATTTGGAGCAAAATTTTGTTCATCATCATCGTCATCATCATCATAATTATTTTGATTTAAAGAATCATCTCTTGATTCATCTGAACTAAATGAATTTTTCCTCTGATTTGAATTTCCTGATGGAATTCTTTCAATAAATCCATTATCTAATAAATTATTTATTGTAGAAACTTCATTAAAATTATTATTAAATCTCCAAAATGATCCAGACATTTTGTGTATATTATTTATATGTTATTATTATAATGCTTTTTGAGGGGGTATAATGAATGTAATTTATAAAAAATTGAATATGCAAAACAAGTATATTTAACTTCCAGCTTGAATCAAATGTATGAATGGAGTTAATTTAAAATTGAGTAAATAACAATTGTAAACTTGATAAATAACAACAATAAAGAATCTTTGATCACTTTAAACACAATAAATCAATGAATATTGTTCTCCCAATATAATACCAACGGATATGATATGATAATTAATAATCCTTCAAAACTCACACAACAAAGTATGAATATCAACTAGTAAACCAAACTTATTCAAACAACTAACAAATAATCCAATGATTCCAGTCACTTTTATGATATTATCACCCTTCTTTCTTACTTAAAATCAAGAATTCTCAATGTAATAAAAATTTAACACACAATAGGGACAACAGCAAATGAGAAAAAACGGTCAACGATGATCCAAAAAACAAAACACTTTATGAGTTCCCAATTCTAAACTGATTCCAGCTTCCCTTGTCCTAGCGCTCTCTCTCTCTAAGCTCCTCTAAGTGTAGTTCAATAGCAATTGTGGAAAACTGCAAAATCAATTTAGTTTACAATTGATAATAAAATTATTAATTGTTATATAATTTTTATTTTAAATCGACGCTCATTTTGGTATTTTGTCGAATGGCCAAAATTTTTTTTTCTTTTAAAGAAATTCGCGACCGTACAACAAAATTATCAGATCGGTACGGGACACTTACATATAAGTAATTTTAAAACAGAATTTCATTTATTTCCCATTTATTTTTGATATTTAAGCTATTATTGTGAAAACATTAGTGTATCAGCAACTAAGGAGTCAAAAGGTGGAATAACACCAGAATTCTTATAATCTTTATTATCATTTTCAAATAAAACTTGAATTTTATTCTTGATAAAATCAACATCATATTTTGTTAAGAATTTCTTGAGGAATAATAAAATATCTAATTGAAATTCATTGAAAAATCTAATATTAAAGCTTATTGCTCTGACCAAGATATCCAAGATTTGATCTAGAGTTATATCAAAATTTCCAAATTTATTTAATTTATTCCAGATTTTAAAATCTCTATTATAATATTGATTTTCCCAAAGTTCCATAACTTTAAGAGCAGAAATAATATCAAATTTAGCACTAAGAGAAGTTCTTAATGCTGCAATGGAATTTTTGAAATGTTGAGTTCTAAATGATGCTAAACCGATTAATTGCCATTCTAATCCACTATGTTTCAATTGTTTTGCATTATTTAATTCATTCTCCACTATCAGTACGACTCTTAAATCTTCATACAACACAAGGAATAATTGATCTAACCATCTTTCACAAAGTCTTTTATTTGTAATACTACTATTACTACCACCATTTTTTTCATCTATACTTGTTGTTGATATAGTTTTTTTATATTCATCATCCATAATGAAAACTTGAGATCTAATTTTTAATAAATTATCCCAGCCAATTTTATTTATAATTAAGATTAATAAATCATAAGTTAATTTATATGTTCCTTTTAATGGTGTTTGATTAATTCTAATCAGTGTTGGATCACAAGCTTCAACTTCATATCTTGGAGAAAATTTAATTAAATTTTCTGAACCTAATCCATGAATTTGTGATATATTTCCCCAAACTTTATGAATTTTCCCCTCGTTAGGAAATGGTAATGCTAATGAATCTTTATTTTCAATGAAAATTAAATCTTTTGAACGGATTGTATACATTGGTGCAGAATTTAATGCAACTAATGCCATAGGGATATTATCACTTAGGATATGTAATTTGGTTAAATTCAACCAGCTTTCAAAATCAACAGGATTAGAATTAACAGCTGATAATGCAGGGTTTAAAGCTAATTCATATTGTTCTCTTGAAAGTAAAAATTTGACTTGTTCATTCAAGATTAATGTATCTCTTGGATTTAATTTTAATGATTGATTAATTAATTTTATTGCTTCAACTTCTGAATCTTTTAAAAATAATATTTTGATGATTAAAATTGTTAATTGATCTGTTTTTTTATGTTTTGTTAATAATTCAATTGTATAATCATATAAATTTGTTAATTCCACAATTTTTAATAATGTATCAACAAGGAAATTTTGAACTAATGAAGGTCTTTGAACAGTAGAGATACAACCTAATAAATAACCTTTATCCAAGAATTTAATTAATTTTGATATGATTGTTTTAGAATGTTGAATTGATTTAATTAATGGTTTTTCCACTAATGAAGGTAATTTCCTTTCAAAATCTAAATTTATAATAACAGATCTTATAACTGAACTAACAAATAATTCTTCCCAAACATCATCATTGACTTCCATTAAAGTTTTATTACTTCTATCACTTGGAATTTGTTGTAATTGATATGATGAATTGTTATTATTGGGGAATTCAATTCTAATTCTAACATCACATCTTGAAAATGAATTAAAAGAACAATAAGTATAAATATTTGGATGTTTTGAAGAATTATTACTGGAGTTCAAATTCAAAGTAGTTAAATATGCCAATGGTGCAACGGGAGAACTAACATCTAACCCAGTAATATAATGATAATTTCCTTCTTCTTTTTGAGAAATCTTATTGTAGTTGGAAATATGTATCAAATCTGGTGGACCTAGTTCTTTAAAATTTGGTAAACTTGAAGTTCTTTTCCCTATTGAGTCACCAAATGATTGTTCAGATAAAGATGGATGGATAATGAATGGTTTTGTTATTGATTTAGATTTTTGATGTGATTGTTTCTTTTTTGGTGAACTAGTACCACCAACATTACCTAAGTCCAAAACTGATTGTGACCTAGAATGGGAATGACTTGGATCTCTACTTGATATACTTAGATTGGACATGTTTGATTAGCCAGTTAAACTAGACAGCTAAGCACCACTGTTATTCTATCAGTTGAATTATATGATCACTTGGTTGATCTATCTGCTATAACTTTTCAATTCATAACGTGTTCATTAAAAGGGAAAGAAAACAATCGATTTGAAGGTGAACATAACTGGTAAGGGACACACAGAACACCACTGTCAAGAGGTAAAGTGACAATATAGACTATATAGTTAATTAATTATATGGATATTGATCATTTTGGAATAATTTAATTTAATACTAGCTGTGAACATTAGAGCATTTGGTCAATTACGCTTAACAATATAAAGTATCATTCATAAGTATTAATAATATAAAAATATACTAACTGATTTATATACAATTAATAATATATTCAAAATATGATGATCAAGGAATCAAGAAACAATAGAAAAGGCGATTAAACCAGGAACTTATATCCAAATGCGTTTAATTAATTAGCTCTCATCAACGTATAACAGCAACTTTTATTATAAATATATCGTTCAGCTATACGAATCATACAACTTTCCACCACCATAGTTCACCGCACCTATTGCTATAGTCCCAGTCCATTCGTCAACTTCAACTTGAGTACAAGATACATTAGTGCTTTGATAACACTCATCCTTAGACAAAGACCCAAACCAAGAGTAAACCTTTCGAGAAACACACTCACCGGTTGCCCCTGCAGCTAATGACACCATGCGTGAATTACCTTTATCACAGTCATGATGGGGCCAAACATAGATTACCAATCCTGTATCATTATCACTATTATCTGGTAAAAATGCATAGAATGGATTTTTTTGGTCATCTTGACAGATATCAGTATAAGTATCAAACTGCTCAGTGCTGGAGCAGTCATCTGGAGTATCTGACATGTGCATCACATAATAATTGGAATATTTGCTGCGTTTAAATTTTCTAGCACCATTAAACCGTGGTCTACTGCAATTTTTAAACATCTCATGACCATCTAGAGTTTCTTTTATGTGAACAGGTTGAATGATATCTTCATCTGGATTGTTTATGCTGTGAATTGTCATGGTTTTATTAGCATAATTATTCCAGCAGTAACCAAACACAAAACTTGCATGGTCAGGATTTTGAGCTGTGATATCAAAACCAAGAATATTGTCATGGTCCAATCCAATTGTAGTATTAGACGTGGGTTCATTAGCAGCTAAACATCTCACTAGGTTGAAGTACTGATAAAGATCAGTTTGATTAGCTAGTACCACATCCCAGGCCATGGCTCCCAAGGCCAATTTCAATACCAACAGTAACGCGACTAAGCAGCCCATATTAATGATTTGAAATTATATTAATACTATAATATATTTAAGGAATTTAACTTCAAAATGCGTGAACCAAGCTAGTATTTATAGTAATTAGGTTTACTCGACAATATAAGAGAAATTTTCATCACAGGCGCTAGTGATATCTATTGACCATGCAGCTTTGAATTTTTTTTTGTGGTAGCCTGTAGGTATAGTAGGTACTAGGTAGTACCGTAGTGCCTATCATGAATCATGATTCGTGAGGTTTGAACTTTGGACGTGTTTGGACAGTGAGAGTCATCTGAGGTTATCTGCAGACTGCAACAGTCAAGGACGCTTAACTAGAGTTATATTAGAGCATTGATCAAGCTGGTGAATCGAAAAAGTATATATAAAAGGGTTCCCTAATATTGTACCGGGAGAAAGTTGCATGAGAATAGTGTATCTATCACATTTCACGAGGAAACATACTACAGCTAGAGTGTATATACCGATTTATCAATAATATATTAATTTTAGACATTTTAATTATAATTTGCACCTGAATTTAATTAATATATAAATATAAGCTAAATATAAAGATATATCTCAATAATATGCAGCATGCATGAAACAAAAAAACTAATAGTTCCCATGTTATCGGGCCATAATTTCAATTAAAATTCCACAATATTATACTTAAAGTATATAAGTACATGATATGAACTAGTAATTAGTGCGTCTACAGTCGAAATATATCTAGCCAGCTGCTAATATTGACGTTATATACAGCTTATATAATATTATTCGCAATTCTTAAACTAATTTGTGCAGTTTCGCAAAAATGTTTTGATGATATTGCAGGTTCATGGTTTAGTTCATGAGTTTTTCTTAGGGCCTGTTCTAACAATTCTGGGGCGAAAAATTATCAAAATATCAATATTCCGACGATCAGCTAATATTAATACCGATTCCAATTTCCAACTACGTATAAGTTTATAAGTTATACTACATGATACATGAGGCAGATCAATAGAGAAAGTGCGCGATCACCAACGCCTCTTGAGTCTTGGCTCTATATATATCTACGTTAATCCAAATTTCAACTTCTTACGTTACATATATATCAGTGCAAATTCAAATACGCTATATTTTAATTTCGTAATCTTATTCTGAATCCGCTCTTACCTTTTTTTATGACTAATACAGTACACCTCATGAGTCGTACCTACAGGCTACAGGCTACAGGCTACATAATATATAAATTAAATCATTTCATTGTATTTTCAATAACTAATCAAATCTTCAATATCAACCACCACATGTGAAGAATTGTGAATTATCACAATGAAGAAGTATCACCTACAATTGCTGTTGGTATTGAAATTGGCCTTGGGAGCCATGGCATGGGATATGGTACTATCAAATCAGACTGATCTTTATCAATACTTCAACCTAGTAAGATGTTTAGCTGCTAATGAAGCCACGTCTAATACTACAATTGGATTGGACCGTGGTAATATCCTTTGCTTAGATATCACAGCTCAAGATCCTGACCAAGCAAGATATGTGTTTGATTACTGCTGGAATAAATATGCTAATAAAACCATGACGCTTCACAGCATAAATAATCCAGATGAAGACATCATTCAACCTGTTCACATAACAGAAACTCTAAATGGTCATGAAATGTTTAAAAATTGCAGTAGACCACGGTTTATTGGTACAGCTAGAGATATTGAATACCAAACTAACCACTTTCAGTTATCTTCAAAAACAGTATTTAGTGGGTATATTGGATTATAAATGAATTTATGCCAGGATAATGGTTTTCTGATGAATGGCCTGGCCAATCGGCCTGATGGACCTTGGACAAAGTCTGTAGTTAAAAGTTGAATTATCGCATATATATAGTTTTCATATATAGAAATTTTGTAATTATTTATAAATTATTAATTGAGTACTTCATTGGCACGCCGCAGCGCCTATGATTATTTTAGGACCAAATTGGTGGTTTTATTACAGAAAAGATTAGCATGTTCGACTTTGTTGATATTTATATGGAAGATACTATATGGTACAATATTTTGATAAAGCTATATCATCAAGTTTACAAGCTGACCAGTAAAGATTATTGAGCCTTTCTAGCTCTTCTATTTGAGCCTAAAGCTATCATCGCTTGTCAGATCTAAGCTGTTACCAAATGATTCCTATCTTTGAGGGTATCCAGCATCCAGATTCCACTACGGACATTTTGACTTCAAAGACTTCTGGGAAAAGATAAAATTGCCTTTTTCATCATCTTTATCAACAAGAGGTTTGCCTCAGAGTTTCTTGCAATTGATATCAAGAGAGTTTGTGTCTGTTTTTTTACTCTTATTGAAGCATCAGCATCTGACTGTGTGACACTTGCCTATATTTCATCAAGATCACATCAGCTTCAGCGGCTCGTAAAAACAAAATGGGTACAGCTTGGACTATATGGGGATAGAAGAACCTATGTAATTTGAGCTGAAGCCTGGAAGATTGTGGATCTGAAGGATTCTTAAATATTGTTGATTTGTGTGATGAACATGTGAGTTTTTCGCTGGTGATAATCTTTCGAATTTCGGACCTTGTTTTTCAGATTGGATTTAGATATTTTGGATACGTTATGAATTCATGATATATGATACACCTATGCTAATCGATCGCAATAATTTGCAGCAGACACTTCTTGTCCTCTTGTGACCTTGTCCTCGAGAAGGAAGTTAAAGTATCAACTAATTTTTTAGCTTGTTTCAAATCAAAATAAGCTCATTGATGGATGAATTGAACTAGAATGGTACTGTAGATCATGATCACTTGATCGAATCGCATCTGAATTTTTGGTACATCACCTGGGTATATAGGAAATGAGGGATTATGCAATTAACAGGTTCAAAAAACTAGCTTTCCCTATATGTTATCGCTATATTCGGTGGTCAGAAATTTCGCAGTCAATGACTTATATCGATCGGGTCGTTACAATTATAATATTGAGCTTTAATGATACGTATTTAGCTTTCAACCATTTGTATATTTAATATAATTTTTGATAAAAATGTTTAATATTGATAATGATTCATAAATACTAGTCCAATTTTGACTTCCCAAACTTAAAGGCTAGTACTAGCCTACTAGTTAATAGTACCTACGGTCTACGGTCTACCTACATTTAACTTCTAATTAATCATAATTCCAAGTTCCAACATAACATGGTACATGAGGCAGATCAATAGAGAAAGTGCGCGATCACCAACGCCTCTTGGCTCTATATAGTTCCTACATATCAATGAAATTCAAATAGGTAAATTGTTATAATCTTATATTGAATCTGCCCTTACCTTTTTGATCTTTTTATGATCTCATGTAAATTTCCACACCAAGTTTAATTCACATATTATATTCATAAATATTGGAATCATTTCATTATATTCTCGATGACTGATCAAACCTTCTTTAAGAGCTAGCTCTGTGAAGAAACAATGAAGAACAGTCTATTATTCTTTTTGATATTGAAATTGGCCTTGGGAGCCATAACCTGGGAGATGGTACTTTCAAATCAAACTGATCTTTATCAATACTTCAACCTAGTAAGATGTTTAGCTGCTAATGAACCCACATCTAATAGTACAATTGGATTGGACCATGACAATATACTAAGTATAGATACTACAACTCAAGATCCTGACCATGCAAGCTTTGTGTTTGGTTACTGCTGGAAAAACTATGGTAGAATCCTGTTGCATCACACCAATAATAATTCAGAAAACTACATCATTCAACCTATTCACATAACAGAAACTCTAGATGGTCATGAAATGTTTAAATATTGCAGAAGAGGAGGGCGTGTTAGTGCTAGAGATACAACATTTAGTGGGTATGGTTTATAAGTGAACTTATATGAATTATAGATTTCACTAAATCAATTTAATGTAGCTTGAGATTACCATCAATATATGGCTTTTAGAAGATCAATTTAGTGGTTTTATTCTTTAAGTCATGGTACCAGTCATTTCATATCCCCAAATTATTAAGCCCTTTGGATAATATACCGTATAATAACTCAGTTACCATGGCGAACATAAATATCCATGATATAGTCCTATAGCTACTATACACGTTCTGCATCTATATATCTCAGAATTGCCAATTGATATGTTCAAATTAATTAAAATTATCACATCTCAATCACAGAAAAGTTTAGCTTAAAATTATATAATTTTACTCCACTTCTTCAAAGATAATGTATGTGTATCATACAGCTTGAAAAATGGCACACTTATTTTGATTATGCTATTTTATACAGTAACATATTTCAGAATTAAGATCATGTTGAGCTCTTGTTCTCGTGCAGTTAACATATATCTCGCGTCGTTACAATATTAAGCTTTGATACTTATTAAGCTTTTTAACCATTTGTATTTTGATAAAAATGCTTAATGATGATGATTCATGAATCATGAATACTAGTCAGATTTTGACGTCACTAACTTCTAAGGCTAGCACATATATATTATATACTAGCCTAGTACCTACTAGCTTACTAGTACGGTGTACCTACGGTCCTGACTCCCGGGTCTACCTACATTTAATTCCAAGTTCCAGCATAACACGGTACATGAGGCAGATCAATAGAGAAAGTGCGCGATCACCAAAGCCTCTTGGCTCTATATACCTACATAAATACGTAAATTGTAATCCTATTTTGAATCTGCTGATCTCACCTTTTTGATCTTTTTATGACTAATATTCCATGTAAATTTCCACGCCAGTTAATTGGAATGAAATCATTTCATTATCTTTTCAGTAACTCATCAAACCTTGATTAACTACCACATGTGAAGAATTGTGAATAATTATGATAATGATGAATTGTATACAATTTCTGTTGGTATTGAAATTGACATTGGGAGCCATGGCCTGGGATGTGGTACTAGCTAATCAAACTGATCTTTATCAATACTTCAACCTAGTAAGATGTTTATCTGCTAATGAACCCACGTCTAATACTACAATCGGATTGGACCATGACAATATACCCTGCTTAAATATCACAGCTCAAGATCCTGACCATGCAAGTTTTGTGTTTGATTACTGCTGGAGTAAATATACTAATAAAACCATGACGCTTCACAGCATAAATAATCCAGATGAAAACATCATTCAACCTATCCATATAACAGAAACTCTAAATGGTCATGAGATATTTAAAAATTGCAGTAGACCACGGTTTATTGGTACTAGAGATACAATATTTAGTGCGTATGATTCATAAATATATTCATGTTGGTATAATGCTTTGCTGATGAATGGTGATTGGCTTTGAACGTACACTCTGTAGTTGAAAGTCTGTTGTAATCGGATTAGTTTTCATACTGGAGTTTGTATATTAAAAATCATCGCTGTATAATCATAAGATGTTTCACTCAGGACGTAATTGATCAAATTAGTGGTTTTATTCGTTATTAAATTAGGATACGTAATAACCGAAATGAAAGATATACCCAGTTATTGATTTATGCTGACTACGTCTTCCTATCGACACCCAGATTCACCCATAAAGGAGAATTGTCATAGTATATCAAGAGTCGATCTAGATACTGTTCAATAGTTCAAGTGATGTTGATAATTGTTGATACAAGCACTTTCGCGTGATAGAATTTGCAGAACACTATATTGTTGTGTTGAAATTATAATGTTATCTACAAATTTCAATTTTTTATAAATTAATATTAATTCATTATATATTAACTAAAATTCTATGCATATGATCAAACATGATAACATGGAGAAAGTCTTATTAAATATGGATATTATGAAATCATAAGTTGGAGACATTAAAATTATTTTCATTAAATGCATTCAAAGATCATAAACTTGATTTTGAAACTTTTTTTTCTGGTTTTTTTTCTCTTCTTTTTTTTCATCTTTTTTCAAAATCAATTAGAACTAAGATGTTGAAATTTACAAGTTTTATCTTTACATGCACCTTGAGTTAACTCTATAGGACATAATTGATCATTATCACTTACTGATATATTTTTTTGTTTCTTGAAACCAAGTGAATTATATGGAGTAAAATGACTTGCTTGATGCTAAAAATAAAAGATATAATGTTAGTATGCACTGAAAATCTTTAAAAGGGTTAGAAACTTAACAAAATGAATAAGTTTTTCAAACATAAAAATATAATGGTATGAAAAGAATAGACAAAAGTGATGTTGAGCCAAAGAGAGGTAGTATAATATATGATATTCTCTTAGTTAAACACAACTTGTTATTCTTTAACCAATAGAAACACTAATTACCTTTGGTATCTTATGAATTGTATCAGATGAAACCATCCCATTTGAATGATTATTATTATCAACATCATCTATATCAATACTATTTGATCCTTCTTCTTGTTCTTCTTCTCCTTCTGATGACGAAGCAATTTCAACAATCTCCACATCCTGTTCTTTATTATCTTGTTCATTAGCTATCTTTTCTTGTTTTTCTACTTCTTCTCTAATTTTTTCTTGTCTCTTACTTTCCATTTGTTGTTGTAATTTTGCCTTTAAAGTCGCACGTCTTTTATCCATTTCAATTTGTTCCTTTTCTTCATATTCTAAAGCTTCCAATTGAACAAGATTTGAAGCTAATTCAGTTTTCCATTCTGATAGATAATTCATACCATCCTCCAGATGATTAATCATACTTTTGGTAGAAATAATATCAGATTCCATTATAGAAACTTGTTTTCTCAACCAAAGTAATTGAGATTGTTTATCTTTTAATTCTTTTGTTAAAAATTTATAATTTTTGGATTTTTGTGAAGATTCATGTTGCCTTATTTTATCACTTAAGTTTTCAATTTTTTCTTTTAATGAAATTTTTGTATTGATAAAGTTATCATTATTTTCATCATCATTATCAATTTCTAATTTTCTTTTTTTATCATTAACATTTTCAACTTCAGTAACTGAAGTTTCTATATGAATCTTTTCTTCTGAATCTTGAGAAGTTTCATTAGATGAATTAGATCCATCCTCTTCTTCTCCTTCATCAGCATCATTGTCTTCTTCTTCTTCTTCTTCTTCCTCGGATTCTTCTTCATCTGATGTTTCAGATAAATCAATAACAAGATCTTTTAACCATTCAGGTCTTTCTTCAACTTGAACTCTAGTATATTTATTATTGAACAAAGGACGTTGATGAACAATAGGACTATTTGAATGAGATCTTTGATCATGCCATTTGGGTATGAGAACTGGAGTTTGTTCAGGTTCAGGTTCAGGTACCGATACTGGTACTTGTACAGCTGGTATTGGTTCTGGTTGTTTTATATCAATCTTGGGAACAATGAATTTCCATGAATTATAACAATTGGCTAGATATTCTCTTTTAACACCTGATTTCTCAACAATATCATCAAATGAAAACCCTAAAGATCTTAAGTCCATTACAGCATCATAAAGATTTGTTGTTAACTTACCTTTATCTTTATGAGATCCCATGGAAGCATTAGTGTTATTAATTTGAATAGCTGAGCCTGTTGCTTGACGATCAGATTTCTTCCTTTTCATTGATGCCAATACCGCTTGTCTCTTGAGCTCAAGCTCTGATAACCCTGTACCATTATTCATTGTAGATAAACTTAGCTAATTATAATCCCAAATTCAAAACACTGGACTAAATCTATATATAACCCAACAGGGGAAAAACAAAAAAAACAAAAATAATAAATGAGTAGTAGGAAACGTAAAAATGGCTATATACTTCAAAACTGGGTATCTAATAATATAAAACTGTTTAATAAAATATAGGATTCAAATTTAGTGAGCGCTGAGTATGAATCTATTTTAATTGAGAATTTTTTGACCACAAACAAAAAAGAAAAAAAAAAAAACAAAACAAAAAAATTCGCGAATGATGATCTTGGATTATATAATGTGTTAGATAATCGACGTAGATTTGATCAATTTTAATTGCAATTGTAAGTTATAACCATGACTTTTAATATATAAAAAGTCTACGAAGACTAATGTGATTACAATTCTCATTAATTGCAGAGTGTACCATTAAGCTAGACATTATCTATTCATCAGAAAAGCATTATACCGACATAAATTCATCTATAAACCATACACACTAAATATTGTATTTGAAGATAACTGGAAATTGTTAGCTTGCAGGGATTCAATATCTCTAGTACCAGGAAACCGTGGTCTTTCGCAATTTTTGAACATCTCATGACCATCAAGAGTTTCTGTTATGTGAACAGGTTGAATGACGTTTTCATCTGGATTATTTACGTTGTAAAACATCATGGTTTTATTAGCATATGTCTTATAGCATCTGCGGAACACATATCTTGCTTGGTCAGGATCTTGAGCTGTGATACCTAAGCAAAGAATATTGTCATGGTCCAATCCGATTGTAGTATTAGACGTGGGTTCATTAGCAGATAAACATCTTACTAGGTTGAAGTATTGATAAAGATCAGTTTGATTAGCTAGTACCACATCCCAGGCCATGGCTTCCAAGGTCAATTTCAATATCAATAGCAATATTAGACACTTCTTCATTGTGATTATTCACGATTGTTCACAATTGGTGGTTGATGGAAGCTTCATTTATCAAAAATTTAAAGAAATGGTTTCATTTATAGAACTTGCAACTTGCATCGAGTCATAACTAAAAGCAGATCCAAAATTAAGGCATTTGAAGGTGTGTATTATAGTGCGAAAGATTCGCGAGTAATCATCCTCATTATATAATGCATTAGATAATCCGAAAATTTGGTTTGAGCAGTAGGCTTTGATCGAAACTTTAATTCTTTTATACTCACTTTAAAAACTCAATTTAATACATAAATGATCATTTTTGAGAGAGGTTTTGAATTGAGAGTATAAATATGAAAGTGGGTTTCTTAATTCATCTATAATGATATTTGTTTGTTTTGATCAACTTAATTCAATATGTGGGCTCAATTACGTGTGTTGTTTGACCGACTCAAGAATATGTGGTTTGAAATGTGGTCTGAATTTTGGTCTAGTGAAATGTGGTTTAACTTACGTCTTTATTATTTTAGATCAATAGAGGATATATTTGGAGAATGGTCAATAAACGTTATCAATGATCTTGGCTGGCTTACACTATTTTACTTAAAATTTGTAAGGCCGTTTATCATCGGTGTTTGGAGAATTAAAACTATGATTTGGTTTCCAATAAGATATTATATTGATGGTCTTGATTTGAGTTTAAAAGTTGAATTATTTTGGAATCTTATGTTTATGGAATTAGTTAAGCTCACGGGAGATGATAATTTCAACTTAGAATTTAGACCTGGAAATGAAGTTAATACCAATACTAATACTGTTGATGCCTTCCCTATGGAGATATGGTATGAAATTTCCAAACATATGAATCCTGGTAAATTGATTAGAATTAATAAGAAATTTTGTGATTTATTCTGCCCATTAATATATAAAGATCTTCAATTGGTTTTGGTCTTAGGTGATGTTGATAAATTAAAAATGAATGATTCCTGTTATATGAAATATGGACCTGATTTTTATGATCATAAAGTAGATGATTACGAGATTTTTAAAAGATCTCGGAAAGTTAAAGAAGAAGATTTTGAATATGAGGCTCTTGATGTTTGTTTAAGAGATCAAGGTGCACCTGCTGGTTATGATTTCAAAGTTATTTATAAGTATAAAGATATTAAAAACATTATATTTCATATTATCAACAACCCGAATTCATATATGAAGAGATATATTACAAAAATTAGCTTTGATTTACCAGTTCTAATACATTTGTTTTCAAAATTATTTAGAGATGATTATCCTGATCCTAATGGTTCAGCTATATTGAAAAATGAAATCAATGAAATTTCCAAAGATCCTTCAATTCATTTTAAAATTATAAATGGTAGTTTTCCGAGGTTCCCACTTCATTCAATGATTTTCTGTGATTGTTTTACAAAAGATCGTTGGCAATATCCAAATGGTACACCCTTTAATATAGATTATAATAATCCAAATTTAATTGATCCTGAAATAGCTAAAAGCATTTATCCTGAAAATGTCTATTTCAGGGAATTATTTACAACTAGTTTAATTCACATTGAGTTGAATGATAATAGATTAGGAATTGAAAGAAGAAAAATTGGCAGATTGGAAACAAAATGAAATTTTAGCTGATTCATTAACTCCATACTATGCTTGGCATCTTAAACATGGACATTTAAGATCAAGTTATGATCCTGATTCTGTTGAAGGTCAACAGTTAATTAGATTGACAGCAAATCTAATAGGTAAAGTACAAATTGAAAATAGAACTTTACTTAAAACCAATGAATTTGAAGATTTTCTGAAAATAATCATCACAAGCATGACTAGTAATAAGATCAACAAGGATGTTGACTGTTCTGTTTGTTTCTATGGTCAAGGCCAAGGTGTAGAAACTGGGAATCTTTTTCCAAGAACCCATGATTGTCATTTTCCTCCATACTTTTCGATATTTAATAAGCCAGCGGTTAATTCTATATAGTTGATATATGTAAATAAGTTTTGACGTAGCGCTGTTGTTAAATATCAAATTTAATAAGAACCCTTAATATTTTGTTGTACTAATACACCTAGTGAATTGAATATATAGAAACTATATTGAAAATTTTATACAAATAATATAGAAGCCATTAAGTTAAACTATTCTTATAATTCACCTGGAACTGGATATTGAGAAACCCATTCAGCAACTTCTTTACCTAAAGCTTTAACATCATCAGATTCATCAGCTAATTTTTTGAAATTTGCTAATAAAGCTCTTGCATCATCACCTTTAGCTTGATCTTTTAAAATCAAAGCTAATTTAACAGCACGATCAATATAATCTGCAACTTTATTAAATTCTTTATTTTCAAAACCTCTTGTTGTCATTGCTGGAGTACCAACTCTTAAACCTGATGGGAATAAAGCAGATTTATCACCTGGAATAGTATTTTTATTAGCTGCAATGTTTATTCTTTCTAAAACAGCTTCTAATCTTGCACCATCAATTTTTTTGGAACGTAAATCAATCAAGATTAAATGAGTATCTGTACCATTAGAAACTAAATCAAAACCTTTTGTTTGTAAAACATCAGCGAAATGACTTGCATTATTAACAACATTTTGTTGATATTCTTTATATTCTGAAGATTGTGCTTGTTTCAAAGCAACAGCTAATGCAGAAATTGTATGATTATGTGGACCACCTTGATGAGCTGGGAAAACAGAAAAATTAATTTTTTTTTCTAAATCATAATAAATTTCTTTACCCTTTTTAGTAGTTTTTCTTAAACCTTTTCTAAAGAAAATCATTGCACCTCTTGGACCTCTTAATGATTTATGAGTTGTTGTAGTAACAATATCTGAGAATGGGAATGGTGATGGTGTAACTTCTGCAGAAACTAAACCTGAAATATGAGCCATATCTGATAGCACATAAGCATTAACTTTATCTGCGATTTTCTTGATTCTTTCATAATCAATAATTCTTGAATATGCTGAAGCACCTGCAACAATGATTTTTGGTCTAAATAATTCTGCAGATTTTTCTAATGCATCATAATCAATTATACCAGTTTCTTCATTTAATCTATATGGCATAGTTTGGAAATATTTTGAAATATAAGAGATTTTAGTTGTAGCAGTTTGATAACCATGAGATAAATGACCACCATGAGGTAAATCAAGACCCATAATTCTATCACCAACATTTAAGATTGATGAATAAGCATATAAATTTGCTGGTGCACCTGATAAAGATTGAACATTAACTCCCCATAATTCAGGATCCAAGTTAAAAGCTTCCAAAGCACGTTTTTGACATAATGCTTCAGCTTGATCAATAAATTCATTACCACCATAATAACGTTCACCTGGATAACCTTCTGAATATTTATTTTGCATTTCTGAACCTAATAAATCCATAACAGATTTTGATGTAAAATTTTCTGATGGAATTAAAGTAATTGATGATTTTTGTCTGTGACGTTCATTTTTAAGGATTTCAGCCATTTCTGGATCAATTTCTTGAACATTTTTGGAAATTAATTCTTGAGATTTTGTAGAAATTGCATATGATCTCTATATATTGATGAATTGTTAGATCAAAAGATAATAAAAACTCATGAAGATGTGTTAACATACGGTTAATAAACCAGTCAATTGGGTGTTCTTAGTCAAAGCACGTAATTGAGTACGAAGCATTGTAGAATATTGTGGGACTAATTGTATGGGGGTGTTTTTATCAAGTAATTCAAACGCCTACAAATTTTGTCATTTTGATGGGTTTTATATTATTTTATATTTTTTTCGTGGTGATGAAAGGAAGATTTCAAAAAAAAAAAAAAAGGTCATTCACGTGATTCTGAAAGGAGTCAATTTAGACACAGAGTCAGCAATCAGAGTCAAAGCAGAGTCACAGTTTAAATCTATTTGCACAAATTTTCAAAGTTTTAGCATGTTTCTTTGAAGGACATTGAATATGTGGAGGAACAGAGTCAGGTGTTAATGAGCCTAGTTGGGTTAGGATTTCATTGGTTTTAATTCTGCTTGTTGGTTCCAGTTGGAGAATTTGCCCTATCAAATTCCAAACTTGTTCGGGATAATTTGACTTGATTAAAACCTGGGGATCTTGTTTAAATGATTTGAATTCACTATTAGATTCTCTAGCAGCTGTCCAAGGGAAATCAACATTAATCATACTGTACAACAAGATACCCAACGACCATATATCACTCAATTCACCATCGTATTGTAATTTAGATAGGGCTTCTGGTGAAATTAAAGCTTCTGTCCCTACAGCTCCAATTGCCAATTTCCTTGGTGTTGGTCCAAATTTAAAAGCTGTACCGAAATCTATAATTTTAACTATCCCGTGGGAATCCATTTGAATATTTTCTAATTTTAAATCTCGATGTGCAATATAATTATCATGTAAATAATTTAATCCTGATACAATTTGTCTGAAAAAACATAGGATTTCTTGTTCACCAGGTGTTGCAACTTGAATAATTTTCAATAATGAATATGGTGTAAATTCCATAACTAATTGATGATTTGATGAACTAATTGATGATATGAATGAAAATGTTTTAGTAATATTTTCATGATTTAAATCACGGGTTATATCATATTCATGATAACATCTTTTTCTATATTCATCTCTTGATTCATAATTTTCACGACCTCTAAATGTCTTTACTGCAAAATATTCATTTGTTGATTTCTTATAATATAAATCAACTTTTGATGAAATACCCGAACCTAATGTTTTAAGTTGTTTACCAAAGCCACTACCAATGTTACCACCAAGTTTTGTTGATGAACTAGTTCTTGAGATTGAAGGTGTCCCACCATTTTCTGGAGAATTACTATTCTGTCTTGATTTAGAAGAAGACCGAAGCTTCCCAAAGAATTGCTTTAAATTGGATTGACTAGCTGTTGAGTTCATAATTCTATGCTATATCATAGTTAAACAATAGTATATGCAGGAACACCAATTACAAACCAACAAATAACATAGAGTACTATTGAATTATCATGAAATATCTCTTGAAAAGTTCCCAAACTTCCTTTAATTGTTCGCGAATTTGATTGTTTATGTAAAGTTTGAGATCCGACAATGCGCATGGTCGGTACTTACCGTATCGGGCAAGACATAAACAAACCCAATTGATCAACATTTCCATTTCCAAATCATAACAAAATTATTGATATTTTTTTTTTTTGAAATCTGGAATTTTGCCTTTGAAATTGAGATTTAATCGAGTTTTTTTGATCAGATTGCTATCTTAGACATTATTAACTCAAGTTTTATTCAATTATATATCCAAACAGTTCTTATCCAACTAAAGCCATTCCTTATTGTTTGCATATATTCATTTGATTACCCAAGAAAATTTTGTACTTGAATTGATTCCCAATATCTGCATATTCTACACAATCAAATTTGAAAAAGACTTCTCTCGTACAAGTCAAAATTTGCCATAAAAACATCAAATTTGAACAACTTGATCTTTTCAAATCTTAGGTATATTCAAAATCAACACACAATAAGATGGATAAACGACCTACAGGTCGACTAATATCCAATTTGATTCATATTCTTTCAATATCTTTATCATTTGCAGCTGGTGTTATTGCTATTATTTTTTTTAAAAATTCAAATTATCAGTTGAATAAACCAAGTTTAATAACTTTAATAATTGGTGAATTCATATCAATATTATCATTACCTCTATTGTTTTTCAATTCAAGACTATCAATCATTTGGTCATTATTATCAATCAATTTAATCTCATCATTTATTTCATTGGGAGCTAGACTTTCATTATTTAATTTTTCCATCAAAGCAAATGTATTTCAAAATGATTTAAAATCACAAAATTTATTAATTTCTTTATTTACTTTAATTATTGCATCACAATTCTTCCATGGTTTTACATTAAGTTCATATTTTAATTCTTTATTTCAATTTTATCAACAAAATAATGATCCAGAATCACAAAGACAATTTGACATTGAAAATTTAAAAGAAAAAGTTATATCTTTAAAAGCATCAGCTGCAACTTTAGTTGATAATAGAAAAGTTTCTGGTAATCAAGAATCAACAACATCAACAAAAGCAACAACAACAACAAAAGATTCTCAACAAACCAACGGGAATACTGATCAACAATCATCAATTTTCCAATCAACAAAATCAAGATTTAGTTCTAAAAAAGATTTCAATTCTTTAACAAATCATGAATTAAAGTCAATAATACCCAAAAATTATAATAATGTTCAAAATATTGCACAATTATATTCTATTAAAAAATTATCAATTATAAATCAATCAAGTTCTTCAGCTGATATAACAGCAACACCAGCAAAAAATCATCGTAATTCAAATAGATTATCAAGTACAACAACAACATCATCTTCACAAAAAATTGATGATTCTATTAAAAATGCTCAAAATGCAAAAAATTTAAGTTTGGAAAGAGATGCATTGAAAAGGATTCCAAGTGCTTTATTACCACCACATTTAAAACCTCAAACTTCAAATTTAACTAAAAATCAACATATTTTATCAAAATATCAAAATCGTTCAATTTCACAACCTGGTAATTTAAATAATTTATGGGAATTTCAAAGAAAAGACGAATTTAATTCAAATAATCAAGATGATGATAATTTACAGAATTTAGATCAAAATGAAAATGTTCCAGAGTTAATACCCAGAGCTATAACAATTGAAAATTTTTACCCATTAAGAACTCAACATAATATATCAATGGAAGATGATAATGGTATAAGGACAATAGCACCAATTGATTATGATCAAGGGAAATTTAATAATTTTAATGTTAATCAATTAAAAAATGGATTTGAACCTGAACATCTGTTGAAATCTGGAAATTTTGATTCATTAGATCCACCAATTAATCATGATCAATATAATGATAGATTTACTATAAATGATGATGATAATGACAATTATTCAATTCCTGATGATGTTCAATCGTCTCATGTATCAACAAGTTCCACTGAAGAAGCTTTAAAAATTGTGGAAAATGTTCAACAAGCATCATCAAATGAATTTGATTTAAATGATGTTATTGATCAATCAAGATCTTCATTAAATTTAGAAAGATTAAATACACCAAATAATAATAATAATCATTTAACTAAAAGTAAAAGTTATTCACCTCATAAATCAATTTTTAGAGGTCATGGACATGGACATGGACATGGTAATCATGGTTATCAACAAATTGAAGGAAACAATATTGGTCATTATAGAAAAAATTCATCAGTTAGTTTTAAAAATTTTAGTGTTTCAATGCCATCATCACCTAAAAAAAAATCAATTATGAATAATTCACCAAGTAAAAAAGCTAAATTTAAGAAAAATTTATCATTATCAAATATTGTTTTTAAGATTGATTCAAGTTTAAACAATAGTAATGACTCAGATTCAGAAATTCCAAATTTATCTTATGTTCATGATTTACAAAGTTCACCAAGTAAAAAACGTCGTTCTTCAATAACACCAAGTTTTGCCACAACTAATGATATAGATACCCATTCAAAGCAACAACATCAACCACATAATTCAACAACAACACCATCAAAACATAAACACAATAATTCACAATTAGCTGTTACAAGTTCAAATAATTCACCAAATTCAAATTGGTCAGAAAATTCTCATATTTCAATATTTCCTGCGGATGTAATCGGTGAATATGATAAAGAGAAATGGAAAACCATGCAACGATTACAACTGGTGAAAGACCAGGAGACAATTGCTCAATGAACAACCTGGACAAGATATATCCAATATATAGATTCACTTATTCAATTCGTTTAATGCTTAAATTCACAATAGTTTATAGAATTCCTTTGTATGTGCATTACATAATCCACACTGTAAGCTCTTCGCGAATTCACTTTCGTATAATTTTCATCCATTAAATTTGAAATCAAATTGCCACGATAAAGAAAACGTCGATTCAATACAAATAATTTCTACTACTTTCCCAACCACAATTGCCACTGAAATTAAAGATGAGTGCTTCATTGGTTGAGAATCCAGCGGTGAAGTCGTCGCAGCTGTTGAGACCGAAGGGGTTCTTCCAGCGCCCTTACGTCTTACCGTTCGTTGTGCTCTATCCATGGTTTGGTCATATTTATTTCGGTTATTATGATGAATATATTAAAGGGTCTGAATGGACTTTTGTTTATTTAGGTGCTATTATCTCACTGCAAGCACTGTTGTTATTGATGCCAAATTGGAATATCAACATTGATGCCCTTTTCAATTATTCCAAAACTGATAAGTTGGATGAAGCTACTCATATTATGATTGTTGCTGCTCCAAATAATGGATTAGGTGCAATTAGTGAAATTAATCGTGATAAATATCCTGATGAAATTCAAACTTCTTTCCTTTTCCAAAAAAGAAGATTTATTTATCATGAAAAGGATAATTTATTTACTCCTCCAAGATTTTTAATTGATTCTGATCCAAAAATTGAAGATTATCAAAAAACAAAAGGTATTACAGGTGATTTATCAAAATTAGAACGTTCATTTGGTAAAAATACTTTTGATATTCCAATTCCAACTTTTTGGGAATTGTTTAAAGAACATGCTACTGCTCCATTTTTTGTTTTCCAAGTTTTCTGTGTTGGGTTATGGTTATTAGATGAATTTTGGTATTATTCATTATTTACTTTATTTATGCTTGTTAGTTTTGAATGTACTACAGTTTTCCAACGTCGTTCCACTATGGGTGAATTTAGAACAATGGGTGTTAAACCATTTCAAATTAATGCTTATAGAAATAACAAATGGGAAGAAATCTCCACTATTGATTTATTACCTGGTGATGTTGTTTCAATCACTCGTACTGCTGATGAATCTGCTATTCCATGTGATTTGATCTTAACTGATGGTTCAGCTATTGTTAATGAAGCTATGCTTTCTGGTGAATCTACTCCTTTATTAAAAGAATCTATTAAATTACGTCCAAGTGAAGAATCTTTACAATTGGATGGTTTAGATAAAAATTCTATCTTACATGGTGGTACAAAAGCTTTACAAGTTACTGCACCAACAGATTCAATTATCCCATTAGCTCCAGATAATGGTGCTTTAGCTGTTGTTACCAAGACTGGGTTTGAAACTTCTCAAGGTTCTTTAGTTCGTGTTATGATTTTTTCTGCTGAAAGAATTTCTGTTGGTAATTATGAATCATTATTTTTCATCTTATTTTTATTAATCTTTGCCATTGCTGCTTCTTGGTATGTTTGGGTTGAAGGTACTAAAATGGGTCGTATTCAAAATAAATTGATTTTAGATTGTATTTTAATTGTTACTTCTGTTGTTCCACCTGAATTACCAATGGAATTAACTATGGCTGTTAATACTTCATTAGCTTCATTGAGTAAATTTTTCATTTATTGTACTGAACCATTTAGAATCCCATTAGCTGGTAGAATTGATGTTTGTGCTTTTGATAAAACTGGTACTTTAACAGGTGAAGATTTAGTTTTTGAAGGTTTAGCTGGGTTTGGTAATGAAATTCGTCATTTATCTAAACCAAATGAAGTTCCAGAAATTACAAATTATGTTTTAGGTTCTGCTCATGCTTTAGTTAAATTAGATGATGGTGAAGTTGTTGGTGATCCAATGGAAAAGGCTACTTTAGAAGCTGCTGGTTGGAAAATTGGTGAAAAAGATGTTGTTTTCAGAGAAACTAAAGCTAAAAAAACTGAAAAAATTAAAATTTTACGTCGTTTCCAATTTTCTTCAGCTTTAAAACGTTCTTCTTCAATTTCTTCTTATGGCTCTAAAACTCTTGTCTCTACTAAAGGTGCTCCAGAAACTATTCGTCAAAGATTATCTGAAATTCCAAAAAATTATGAAGAAATTTATAAATCATTTACTCGTTCCGGTTCTCGTGTTTTAGCATTGGCTTATAAACATTTAGAAGATAATATCACACCTGCTAAAGTTACCAAATTAGATCGTGAAAAAGTTGAAACTGGTTTAATTTTCGCTGGGTTTATTGTTTTCCATTGTCCTTTGAAAGATGATGCCATTGAAACTATTGAAATGTTGAATGAATCAAGTCATCGTTCAATTATGATTACTGGTGATAATCCTTTAACTGCTGTTCATGTTGCCAAAGAAGTTAAAATTGTTGAAAGAGAAGTTTTAATTTTAGATGCTCCAGAAGAACATCATGGTGATCATGAATTAGTATGGAGAAGTGTTGATGAATCTAAGATTTTACCATTTTCAAGTACTGATAAAATTGATGAATCTTTATTCAAGAAGAATGATATTGCTGTTACTGGTTATGCCTTATCAAAATTATTAGAACATCCACAATTACATGATTTAATTAGACATACTTGGATTTATTCTCGTGTTTCTCCATCTCAAAAGGAATTTATCTTGAACACTTTAAAACATTTAGGTTATAATACTTTAATGTGTGGTGATGGTACAAATGATGTTGGTGCTTTAAAACAAGCTCATGTTGGTGTTGCTCTTTTGAATGGTACTGAAGAAGGTATGAAGAAAATGGCTGAAGCTAGAAAAATTGATGCCTTACAAAAAGTTTATAAGAAACAATGTGAAATTATGGGTGCTTGGGGTAAACAACATCCACCAGTCCCATTACCAATTGCTCATTTATATCCACCAGGTCCAACTAATCCACATTATTTAAAAGCTATTGAAAAACAAGGTATTACAATTACTGATGAAATGAGAAGATTACATGCTGAAAGTTCAACTGTTTCTGCTTCTGGTACTGAAAATAATACTGCTCAATCTCAATTAAGTAATCAATTATTAGGTTCTTTACATGAATTAGAAGATCAAAATGAAGCTCCAACTTTGAAATTAGGTGATGCCTCAGTTGCTGCTCCATTCACTTCTAAATTAGCAAATGTTTCTACTGTTACTAATATTATTCGTCAAGGTCGTTGTGCATTAGTTTCAACTATTCAAATGTATAAGATTTTAGCTTTGAATTGTTTGATTAGTGCTTATTCCTTGTCTGTTATTTATTTAGCTGGTGTTAAATTTGGTGATGGTCAAGCTACTGTTTCTGGGTTATTAATTTCTGTTTGTTTCTTGAGTATTTCAAGAGGTAAACCAGTTCAAAAATTATCTAAAGAAAGACCACAACCTGGTATTTTCAATATTTATATTATGGGTTCAATCTTGGGTCAATTTGCAGTTCATATTGCAACATTAATCTATATCACTGCTGAAATTTATAAATTGGAACCAAGAGAACCAAAACCAGATTTAGAAAAAGAATTTGCTCCATCACTATTAAACACTGGTATCTTTTTAATCCAATTAGCTCAACAAGTTTCCACATTTGCTGTCAATTATCAAGGTTTACCATTTAGAGAAAGTATTAAAGATAATAAAGGTATGTACTATGGTTTATTAGGTGTTGCAGGTTTAGCACTTGCAGGTTCAACTGAATTTATCCCAGAATTAAATGAAGCTATGAAATTTGTCCCAATGGATGCTGATTTCAAAACTAAATTAACAGTTACAATTATTTTGGATTTAGGTGTTTCTTGGGCTATTGAATTAGTTTTAAAACATTTCTTTATGGATTCAAAAGCTGCTGATATCGCACAACGTGATGAAGTTGAAGAAAAGAATTAAATCTTTTTTTAAAAGAAAGAGGAGATTGATATGAAAATTATCATGGAAAAGAAAATTGAAATTTCAAATTGAAGTTTATCTGGATAGATATTTAATGAATATAAAGTATTATTAATAGTACTACCCATAATTCAAGCACAGTTTGAAAATTATTATGCATATAGTTCAATGGTGTTTAATGTTTATTATATATTTGATCGAATTTTGTTCTAATTTAGTAATCTTGTATTCGATCCTAATACATTTGTTGGGGATCTATAAGTTAAGTTCTTAAAGATTATACAACGAGACTACATTCAATAACAGCTTACAACATATATATGAAGTTTAAATCCATCATTATTTATTTTATTCAATTGATACGTCTATTATACTTGACTTAACAACTCCTCTCTATCTAATTCATCCCATTTTAAAATTTTTGAATCCGAAGTTTCCACAAGCTTGAAAATATGAGGAAATTTTTTATTTAAATAAAGTGTACAATCATATGCTTCTTTTTCACCAATTGGATTTTTAGTTAAACTATTTTGTAAAGTTTCAGATAATTTATCAATTTTATAAGGTGTATTTGGTTTTAATGATAGTACAACTTGTAAAACATTTTTCAATTTACCTTGTAAGAAATTATCATATTTGATCTCTGGTGTAACTTTATTCTCTGAAGCTTGTTGTTCTTTTAATTTGATACGTTCTAATAATGTTAACCCTTTTGTTTCTGTTTTGGAAGATGATGAAGCTGGTATTCCAGTTTTAGGTTTGGCTTGGAATTTCTCTTTAGAATTTTGTAAAATTTCTCTTTTAACTCTTTTGGTACTTGATGTAAAATTTGGTGATTCTAATTTAGATCTTGAATAAATTGGAATATCATTTAAATGTTTATTTTGAGAGATCCAAGATTCAGATTTTGATTCAAATATTTCTTTCCTCTTGGTGAAATTTTTATATTGAAATTCATCTTTTGCCTTATCAGAATCTATTATAATATCATCATATTCATTAAGTTTGAAACATAATGCATCTACCCAAATTGTAGCAACTTTAAGTAAATCTTCTTCAGTAACGGTGAAACCTTTTAATTTTTTCATTTGAATTAATACTTCTGATAATTTGATATCTGATGATCTATTTCTTGCAAGATGTGGAACGATTTTATCAAAAGTACTAAATATGGAGTTAGCCTTTTCGATTGATTCTATAAGATAGTTGTTGTTATTGGTTCTGGAAGCATTTTGTTGGTTTAGTTCATTTTCCAAGTGTTTCAGAGTATCAGGATACCATTTTTGTGAAACATTTTTGAAATGTATGATTTTTTCATTGAGTAAGGCTTGTGATATAGTTGATGACTTGGGTATGTTTAGTGAGTGTTTGCGAATTGGAATTTTATCTCTTTCTTGTCTTTCAATTTCAAGTTCCTCTGGAATATCAAAAGTTTTGAAATTAAAGTCTAAATTATAAAATGATCTATAGTGTAATTGTGTATGAGTCTCAACTTGATTTGTGAATTTGAATTTACCAGATATGTAAATACCTTTTGAAAGATACTCTAAAATGGGACCAATGCTAATTGCAATTTGATTTGATTTTGATGGTGATTCAACCCATGATCCATAAACATCACAAATATTTAATTTAGGTGGATTGAAAATTAATTTAAAAAGATCATAACTTTGAAATGTTGCTAAAGAGGGGGTTCCGGTATTGTGATCAGACTTGAAAAGATGAATTTCAGCAAATTCAGGTTTTAGTTTGGAGGATTTTGATGCTATTGAGGTATGATATATTGTCAAACTTTCAAGTATTAGATCATTCAGATGTTTGCATATTACTTGTACTGGATCTATAAGTTGATTTGTGGATTGCTCAAACAATATAGGTTTTTCAGGAAAATTATTTGAACCGGTTAGTTGATTTTTATTTTTGCCATCACTTGGATAATGTGAGTGGAAATTTTGAACTTGACCATCACCAACAGAAGTTTTTTCAAAGCCAGAAAAAGATCTGGATTTTACAATGTCAACACCACGTTTAGCATCATCAGACCCATCAAAGAATATACCACCTTGTTCAACCACCAGTTGGATAATATTATCATCTAATAAATCATCATAATTTTCAATATAAAAAAAACCCCAAAACAACAAGGCATGTTTCAAATCCGAAATTAATTCCTCCCTATGATCCTTCAGCAGTGATAAATCTATCACTGGTACAGATCTCTCACTAGCCATCTCTTTACTGTGGAAACTAATCCCAAGAAAGACAAAACAAAACATGAAAACATTTGGGAATATATGGCACTGTCACCACTTCCGTGTCGATAAAAATAGTTACCCGTCATTTTGTGCTGCCCCTTGAGATCCGGTAGTTTTCTTCAAAATTTCAATTTCCGGTTCTTAGTCCGGTTTTTTTTTCCAGTACTTTGTCGAAAAAAAAAAAACCTTCGAAGAATTTCCACTCCCACATTTGCCAGTGACTATATATACTTCTGTTTGGTCTGATTCAATTCATCTATTGAAATTATATCAAGGCATACATTGTTAACTATAGATTCAAGATGCTTGCTCACAGTTTGATGCGTAACTCTTTGCGTAACGTAAGTAGTGCCAGAGAAGGATAAGATTGGATCTATTTAGATCATGGGGATTAGATTGAATTGTTGAGTCAACGATGAAACAAATAATCATGAATCATCAACATCAATCCAACTGAGAATAGATCTAATTGAAATCAATGTGAATTGAATACTAACATCTCAATAGACCGCTCGTCGTTTACCTACCTTATCCCGTTTCAACTCTAACGGTAAAGTTCAAGGTCAAGTTATTGGTATCGATTTAGGTACCACCAACTCTGCTGTTGCTTTAATGGAAGGTAAAATTCCAAAAATTATTGAAAATGCTGAAGGTGCTAGAACTACTCCATCAGTCGTTGCCTTCACCAAAGAAGGTGAACGTTTAGTCGGTATCCCAGCTAAACGTCAAGCTGTTGTTAACCCAGAAAACACTTTATTCGCCACCAAACGTTTAATTGGTCGTCGTTTTGAAGATGGTGAAGTTCAAAGAGATATCAAAGAAGTTCCATACAAAATCGTTAAACATTCCAACGGTGATGCTTGGTTAGAAGCTAGAGGTGAAACTTATTCACCAGCTCAAATTGGTGGTTTCGTTTTAAACAAAATGAAAGAAACTGCTGAAGCTTACTTAGGTAAATCAATTAAAAACGCTGTTGTTACCGTTCCAGCTTATTTCAACGATTCTCAAAGACAAGCTACTAAAGATGCTGGTCAAATTGTTGGTTTAAACGTTTTACGTGTTGTTAACGAACCAACTGCTGCTGCTTTAGCTTATGGTTTAGAAAAAGCTGAATCAAAAGTTGTTGCTGTTTTCGATTTAGGTGGTGGTACTTTCGATATTTCCATCTTAGATATTGATAACGGTGTTTTCGAAGTTAAATCAACCAATGGTGATACTCATTTAGGTGGTGAAGATTTCGATATTGTTTTAGTTCGTCACATTGTTGATCAATTCAAAAAAGAATCCGGTTTAGATTTATCTGGTGACCGTATGGCTATTCAAAGAATTAGAGAAGCTTCAGAAAAAGCTAAAATTGAATTATCATCAACTGTTTCTACTGAAGTTAACTTACCTTTCATTACTGCTGATGCTTCAGGTCCAAAACATATCAACTTGAAAATCTCAAGATCTCAATTTGAAGGTTTAGTTGAAGATTTAATTAAAAGAACTATTGATCCAGTTAAAAAAGCTTTGAAAGATGCTTCATTAACCACTTCAGATGTCGGTGAAGTTATCTTAGTTGGTGGTATGACCCGTATGCCAAAAGTTGTTGAAACTGTTAAATCATTATTCAATAAAGAACCATCTAAAGCTGTTAATCCAGATGAAGCTGTTGCTATTGGTGCTGCTGTCCAAGGTGCTGTCTTGGCCGGTGAAGTTACCGATGTCTTATTATTAGATGTTACTCCATTATCTTTAGGTATTGAAACTTTAGGTGGTGTTTTCACAAGATTAATTCCAAGAAACACTACTATCCCATCTAAGAAATCACAAATCTTCTCAACTGCTGCTGAAGGTCAAACTTCTGTTGAAATCAGAGTCTTCCAAGGTGAACGTGAATTAGTTCGTGATAACAAATTAATTGGTAACTTTACCTTATCAGGTATCCCACCAGCACCAAAAGGTGTTCCACAAATTGAAGTTTCCTTCGATATTGATGCTGATGGTATTATCAACGTTTCAGCAAGAGATAAAGCTTCCAACAAAGATGCTTCTATCCAAGTTGCTGGTTCATCAGGTTTATCAGATGCTGAAATTGAAAAGATGGTTAACGATGCTGAAAAATACGCTGAACAAGATAAAGTTAGAAGAGAAGCTGTTGAAAATGCCAACAGAGCTGACCAAGCCGTTTCTGAAACTGAAAAATCATTAAAAGAATTTGAAGGTAAAATTGATCAAGCTAAAGCTGATGAAGTTACCAAACAAATCACTGAATTAAGAGAATTAATTGCTAGAGCTCAAGGTGGTGAAGAAGTTAATGCTGAAGAATTGAAAACTAAGACTGATGAATTAAGACAATCATCAATGAAGGTCTTTGAAGATTTATACAAAAACCAAGGTGAAGGTGAAGGTAAATCTGAAGAAAAGAAAGAATAAATTTAGATGATTTTTACGTTTATGTGTTGTTTTAATAACTCTTTTTCTTAAATATTAACAATCTCACTGGGGTTTGGAAATATTTTTATTCATTTTTATATGTTGATGCTCTCGAAAGTTTTATTTTTTTGCTTTCTCTAATCTTTTTTATCTTGTACATAGGTTCATTATGATTAAAAGATTAAGGAAGCAGAAAATTTTTGGAAATCAAATTTGAATAATTCGTTTTCATTTTCCAGAATTGTATATAGGTTAATTCAAATATTTGTCATAGTTAAAAAGTTTGAAATTGTAGAAATAATAATAAATCTCAGCCTTCAGGTTGCATCGGGCCATAGGTTTTAAATAATTTTGTATAGTGTTGTTTCTGCTCATAACGGAAAAATAACCTTCACGAAAATCGAAAAAGTACATCAAATCAAACAAATCACAACTTTGAATCGAATCAACTCGATTAGAATAGACTAAATCATTAGAAAAAGATCGAATAAGAATGCAAGTGGCACCATTGACAAAAATAATATCCTTAGCAGGGTTTTTAGCAGCTGGTTTCCTATTGATTATATTAAGTTGTGCCCTTTGGAATAATTGGTATCCCTTATATGTTGGTAAGTATTGATAACAGATATGATGATCAAAGAACGTATATATAACTAACTATTTCATAGTGGGGATTTTCTTAGCAGCTCCAATTCCAAATGCATTATTCAGTCGTACAGAATTTGATGATTTCATGAGTGATTCTTCAAAGTAAGTTAATGATCTTTAAATGAATATAAAAACATAACTAACAATGATAAAGTGTCACTAATGATTTGGCTTCATTTTTTACAGGTGCTTTAGTTCTTAGTGGATTGGCATTACCAATAGTATTTTATCATGTTAAATTAGTTGTTTTACCGGCAACTGTGATGAGTATGACTGGTGGGTTGGTTGTATACCTTTCAATAATTATATTTGGTATGTTTTTCCATGAAAGTGAAGATGAATATTGAGGTTTTTAAAAGAAAAGTTTTTACAAAGGGTAATGGTATGACTAGCTATAGATATATATTCAGCTTTTGGCTCGTTTTATTACAAGTTTTATACACATGAGTACCATGATATTTAAATGATGATGCATTAGATTTCTAGTTATGTTATAACAAAATGTAGATGTTTTGTATAAGTATATCCTGTAGCAGTTTGATCTTCGTCTCTAGTTGGATAACAAGTACATGACGTGCTTATAGTACTACATCGTCTCTTAGATATATTAAGCTTAAAATGTGTTCTCTACTTTAATAAATTTATTTAAAACAAGACTTTAAATTAAAAAATATCATGATCAAAAGGAATACCAACTAAAAAATTTGCCAATGGGGATTGTAGAGGTTCATCATCAATTTTATAATTTCCATCTGTTTGAAGTTAATATTGTTTAGCGGTTTCAGATGAGAAACATAAATATTCATCAATGTCCAATATAGAAGTTTCATTATCATTTGAAGGAGTGGTTATAAATGATTGTTTTAAGACTTGTGGATCACCATTATTCACGTTATGGGTAACACCATTGACATTATAAGCTTCCAAAATTGGTAAAGCTGATCTTGTGAGGTCAAGATATTTAGCAAGCTGATCAAGCCATATATTAAAATAATGACAATGTAAATTGGACCAGTGATATCTAGGAATTTTAAATCCACAAGCCACTTCATAACTAATACTCTGTGGAACTCCAAGTCTTTGTTCACATTTGACAATTCCACGGATAGAAATGTAATAATCACAGGTCTCTGGAGCACCAGTGCCAATTGATGATATGTATTCCAAAAGTTTTATGTAGGTTTCAGCAATAGACAACACTGTTTCACCTTTAGTATTGGTAACTTTGATATAATCACCCTCTTTTTCTTCCTGGTCTTCCTCATTAGAGTCGTCATCTTCTTCAATATCATCATCATTGCCATCATAACCATCATTTCCCTTCTCTCTCTCCTCATCAACATCTTCATCTTCTTCTGCATCATCATAATCATCATCAACGTAATCCTTCTGCTCATGTATATATCCTGTAGAATGTGAGACAGGAGGATTATAAAACTTCTGAGGGGTTTGATTATAATGCTGGTTGAATGAATTCGATGAATTATCAGTATTGACATTCTCGAAACTTGAAATTTCTTGTAAAACCTGTCCAAAATTTTTTTCACAAAAGCTAGTGACATTCAAATTGTTATTGGTATCAAAATGTAAATCATCACCATAATAACCTTGATCATTGATGTTGATATTATGATGGTATTGATTTGGAACGTCATTAATGTAGTAACTCTGTGGATTAGGTTTAAAATAAAAAAATGAATCATAATTCATTTGTGCATTATGTGATAAAATATGTAGATTATTATTTAGAACTGGAGATGAATTGACCGGACTTGGTGTTTGAAAATCAGGACATGGGGATTGAAATTCGGGACATGGGGACTGGGAATCTTGAGGTAATGTTGAATTATTAGGTGATGACCCTTGAACAACTCTGTCTTCAATTGGTTTAGTTAACTGTTTTTCATTATGTGATAAAATGTATTGATTATTATTAAAAGCTGGAGATGGATTCACAGGACTTGGGTATTGGAAACCTTGAGCTGGTGATGTGGAATTATTAGCTAGTGACCCTTGAACAAATCTTTCATAAATTGCTTCAGTAAATTGTTTTTGCTGATCTGACTTATCTGGATAAAGTTTAGCAATAGAATGGTAATTCACATCATTATTCAAAAAATCAGTTGGTAACTCTTTATAACTAACAGGTGTACCAATCTTCTTAGCATCTTCAATTGAATTAAGATTACAATATTGTGGAACTCTTAAAAATTTAGAGTTTTTCTCATCAATGTATAATTCTTTTGGTTTTTTTTTGCAACAAGGATAATCACATTCATATCTAAAGTTTTGACTATTTGGACACCATTCATTAAGTTTAGGAACAAATTTGGCTTCAATCAAGATAAATTTATCATTATTGGGATTTAATTTCACCTGTATAAGTTCACTATCATTAATTTTATCTGGAATTCTTGATGATCTTCTTCCTTTTCTAGAAATGACTTCTAAACAACCTCTGTATCCATTATATCCTGGATCATCTAAATTAACAATGGACAGATGGTTACATTTTTTGGTCCTATGACCTCTGACACAAATCTGGCAGGCAACTTTGATATGTTGTCCACAAATCATGATTGTTTTGTATGGCTGAAACCTTGGTGAGTTGTAAAAAAATTAGCAAAGTGGTTATTTGAGCTTAGATGTGAAATATAGCAAAATTCCTTTAGGTTAGAAACTAAAGCACAAATCTTTTGGTGAATTGGTACTAATCTGTTACAATATGATTTCCTTACTATAAATTTATAGGCCAACCTCCAGTAAAATATCTTGTTAATGTTTTCATTTTTGTGTAATTGAAACAAAAAATGATGCCACAGAAACAAAGCAAAGAAATATCTTTCATGGAAACCAAGACAATTCTCCAAATTGAAACACATTTGGACGTCCTGAAGATCATGATCATATTTATGACTTAACACACTTTCAACTCTTTGACTTATTGGAAATCAATACCACCAACCTGGAACCAAACCCCATTGGATAAGAATCAGCACTCAAACGGTATTTCAAACCAGCGGAAAAACAATAACATATTCTTCGATCTATTCTAGCACCACTCAAAACCATAACAGCACCATTATCCTACTTTTATCAAGCTTCCCTTCCAATTGATGGATCGTAGTTCAATTGTTTTAAAGTAATCATTTTGTTTATTTGTTTACTATTTCTTTTTTTGTTGGCGTCTATTGTGATTACAAAGCACTTACATAATAGAAATCGATTAGTCATATAAGTCATTCAGCCGCGAATTTTGATTGATTTCGACAACTTTTGTACTTGAAGAGATAAGTACTCCAGAATTAGTGAAAAGATATAAAGATAGAGAAATATATAATACAATGGCTGAAGTTATTGCTAAAGAAGCTCGTGCTGCTTCTACTGTGCTTAAAACATTATCAAATGAAGAAAGAAGTTCCGCTTTACAAGCTGTTCATGATGCTTTAAAAGTTTCTAAAAATCAAATATTAGAAGCTAATATTAAAGATATGGAAGCTGCTCAATCACAAAATTTATCTTCATCATTAATCAAACGTTTAGACTTGAGTAAAGGTGATAAATTTGATGTTATGCTACAAGGTGTCTTGGATGTTGCAGCTTTAGAAGATCCAGTTGGTAAAATTACTTTAGCTACAAAATTAGATGATGGATTAGATTTATTTAGATTAACTGCACCAGTTGGTGTATTATTAATCATTTTTGAATCAAGACCGGAAGTTATTGCAAATATTACTGCTTTAGCCATTAAATCAGGTAATACTGCTATCTTAAAAGGTGGTAAAGAATCTTTATATACATTTACTGCTATGGCTGATGTTGTTAATGAAGCATTATCTAAAACTTCAGTCCCAGAAAAAGCTGTTCAATTAATTGCATCAAGAGAAGATGTTGCTGCTCTTTTGGATCAAGATAAATATATTGATTTAGTTATCCCAAGAGGTTCAAATGAATTAGTTCGTAACATTAAGAGTAATACTAAAATCCCAGTTTTAGGTCATGCTGATGGTATTTGTTCCATATATGTTGATAAAGATGCTGATTTAGATATGGCTTCTAAAATTGTATTTGATGCTAAAACAAATTATCCAGCTGGTTGTAATGCAGTGGAAACTTTATTAATTCATAAGGATCTAAAGGATAAAATTTCACAAATTGTTGATCGTTTAATTGAAGGTGGTGTTACTTTACATCCAACTAAAGAAGTTGAATCAACATTACCATCATCAGCTAAAATAATTTCAGCTGTTGAAGGTGATTTTGATAAAGAATTTTTATCTTTTGATATTGCTATAGATTTTGTTGATTCTGTTGAATCTGCAATTAATCATATTAATTTACATTCATCAAAACATACAGAATCAATCATTACAGAAAATAAACAAACTGCAGAAAAATTCTTAAAAGCTATTGATTCTGCTGGTGTTTATTGGAATGCTTCAACAAGATTTGCTGATGGTTTTAGATATGGATTTGGTACTGAAGTTGGTATTTCAACAAATAAAATTCATGCAAGAGGACCAGTTGGTCTTGAAGGTTTAGTTATTTATCAATATCAAATAAGAGGTCATGGTCAAGTTGTCGGTGATTACTTAGGTGGTGGTGGTTCAAGACCATTTATTCATCAAAATATTGATGTTAAAAATGTTTCATTATGAATACATTCCATCGGCCTTACATTTCTCCCCTGTATTTATTGATTAATAAATGAAAAATAATACCTTGTACAATTATAATTATTTAACTATATATAATATATTCATGCAAATTCTGCTTCTCTCATCTCCCCATATTGACCTCTTGATTTAGTAGTATCATACATTCTAATAATTTTTTCTTGTCCACCTTCAACTTGAGAAAATGCAAAACCTCTTTGTTTTCTCATTCTTGAAACTTGTCTAACTTTTCTAATTGCTTTTTGAAATTGTTCAATTCTTGGTCTATAATTTGCTGTATTAAATTTTTGAATTTCTTGAACATAATGATAACTTTCTGGATAATACATTCTTTTATAATATTTCCAGCCAAAATCTCTTAATAAACATAATATAGGTAATACAAATACCATTGCCCAAAATGTTGCACTTGTATATAAATGGGATAAAACACCTTTATATTCTTTTGAAACATTAACTAAAGGTGCAACTGTTGAATAAACTGGGAAAAAAATTAACCAAAATAAGAAAGAACCTGGAATTGCAAATAATGTGAATTTTGTCCATGAATTTGTAATTAATGCAGCTTTACCCAAGACAGTCAATACTGAAGCTGTATAAATAGCTGTACCCCAAGTCCAATGATCTGCAGTTTCACCTCCATGTAATGAATTATCAAATCTATAAAATAATATACTACCAACAAAAATAACAGCAGAATGGAAAAATCCATTAACAACCCAACCCCAAAAAATTGTAACATTGAAAAAAGTACCCTTTTGACCTAATTGATATAATTGAGGATATTGATCTAATAATCTAGCTGAAACAAATTGATCAAAAACACCAATAACAAATGGTGGTAAAACTGTAAAGAAAACATTATAAAAAGTTAAAGTCCAAGATTCCATAATTGATTGACCTGAAAAGCAATTCATAAAAACAAACCAAAATTGGGTCATATATAATGCAATATTTTTATAAAATGAATATAAAATTGCTTGACTAATTCTTTGATAACTCCATGCACCATGAACTAATAATAATTTTTTTAAATATTTAAATTGTCCAATTGCAAAATCTGCACTTCTTGCAGCTTGCATACCTTCCATACCACTAATACCAATACCAACATGAGCAGCTTGAATCATACTAACATCGTTAGCACCATCACCAATAGCTAATAATAATGATTTCTTCTTCTTTTTAACCATTTTAACAACTAATGCTTTTTGTAATGGAGAAACTCTACAACAAATAACAGCTTTACAAAGACAACCTAATTCTAATAATAAATCATCACAATCATCAAGAGCATAACCTAATGATTTACCATCAATAATTAAAGCTAATGTATCAATTTCATGTTTTGAAATTTTATATTCTCTTATTGCTCTTAATTTTGATAATAAATTTTGTCTTGTTCCCTCTACTGAATCTTCATTAACAATTAATAAATTCATATCTTCACTTAATAATTTACAACTCATACCAATATTTATAGCAGTTTCTTGACGATCACCTGTTAAAACCCAAATTTTAATACCTGCATCTTGTAAAGTATGAATAGTTTCTGGGACACCATCTTGTAATTTATCTTCAATAGCAGTTGCACCTAACAAGAATAAATCTTTTTCAATTAATTCAGCAGCATCATCTAATTTTTGTGATCTATCATTTAAATCTGTAGCTGCAGATTCATAAATCTTGTGCCAATTTTCATATTCTTCATTTGGGATTATTCTTGTTGCAATACAAAGTGTTCTTAAACCTTCAGCTGCATAATCTTCTAAATGACGTGTTGTAGAATTAACATATGGATTATCTTCATGTAATCTTTCCAAAATAACAGTGTCAGCACCTTTACAAAATAATCTAATTGAACCATCTGGATATCTCAGAATAGCAGACATTCTTTTTCTTGTTGAATTAAATTCACAAATATGTAATAATTCATATTCTTTTGTTTCAGATCCAATTTCAACAGCAACTGATTTTGGTTTACGTACAATAAATTTATAACCTAAATCTGCACCACCTTGAACCAGAGCACCTTCATCAGGTGAAGCAGCTTGATATTTAATTGAACCATCAGCTTGAGTTTCTGGAATAACTGTATGACAAGTTGCTAATAAAGTTAAAAATTCATCAATTAAATTAGCTTCATCACCAGTTTGTAAATTATTTTTCAATTTATTAAAATCATGGAACCCAACTTCAATACCATCAATCATTTTGGCATGTTTATCTTCTGGAATATCATCAATATAACAACGACCTGCAATTGAACAAGATTTGAATTCCATAATATTTCTTGTTAATGTACCAGTTTTATCACTGAAAATATATTCAATTTGACCTAATTCTTCCACTAAACTTGAAGTTCTCACGACTGTTGGAGTATCAGATGCATCATCATATAAATCTAAATCAGATGCAATCATATAAGCTTGATAATATTTAATACACTCCACTGTAACAAATAATGAAATTGGAACTAAATTTGAAAATAAAATCCAATAAGTTAATAAATCTTTAAAAAATAATCCAACTTTACTATGACCTTCTAAATATAAATATTTTAAATGATCTGCATTAACTGAAATTGTTATAACATTACCAATTGATGAAATTAATGCTAATACAATTAACATTCCAAAAAGTGCAATAATTTGTAAATTAATAATTCTTTCCACTGCAGTTCTTTTGATAGGAGTTGCTGTAGCATTTCTCATTAATTTTGTTTCATGACCTGTAAATACCACAATACCATGAATCCAGCCAGTATTTCTTAAAGTTGCACCTCTTAATAATAATTGTTCAGGTGATAATGGATATTCCTTATTATATAAATTTAAGTTACCTTCATAAGTATAAAGACTTGAATTTGGTTGTTCAGAAAAAATTTTACCTCTCATTGAAATTAAATCAGTTGGAGAAACTAAATGACAAGTTTCAGATCTTGCTTGTTTAATTTTTAAATTAGTTTCACCATCAAGATTTGCAGTTTCAATATAACATAACCCTTCTGGTTCTGATGAGGTTAATAAAATTAAATCTGCAGGTATAGCTTCTTCAGATTTAACACTAACAATATCCCCCACTGAAACATTAATCCATTTTTTAGTTATAAATTCACCATGATCTGGTGATAAAACTTCAACTTTTGAAGAATTCAATTCTTTATCAGAATTTGCTCTTTTCAAATCTTCAAATATTTCTTTTATAGCAGAAACTAATAAGACAACAATTAATGTACCAATTGTTGTAAATCTATTTGTTGGGGAAACATTTGGAACTTGTTGAATAATTGAAGTAAATAAAAAGAATAAATTTGCATATTTTGAAAATTCTTGAAATAAAAATTTTGGTAAAAAAGTTGCAAAATTATATTTTGTTGTTGAAACATGATTATCACCATAACCAAATGCATCATTTGAAAATTTATCATTTAAATGAATAACTCTTGGACCTTTATTAACATCTAATTTCTGTTTACGACCTCTTATTTTATCATAAATTCTTCTAATATCAAACATATTTCTTTCATCTTCATGTAAATCACGATCTGGTGGAGGTCTATCATCTCTTGGATTTGTTTCACCTCTCCTTGTTGTTGTTGCTGTTGGATCTTGAAATGGGTCATCATGACTTGGATAATCAGTTAATGGTATACCAACATCCTGGTATTCATTACCAAGACCTAATTTTTGACGAACATTTGAAAAAAGTCCATTTGATCTTGTAGCTCCAGGATCACTAAAAGGATCATTATGATCATCATCTAAATCTTTTTCAATTGATTTATCATTGAACGGGTCATTTAAATCAATAGTTTCTTGTGGTATTATCCCATTTCTTAAATTATTAAATTGTTCATTTGGAATATTTGAATATGGTGAATCATTTTGGAAAGAATCACCTAATAAATTAACATCATTTTCATAATTATCATTAGCAGCTGAGCTATGTGTCCTCTGTTGTGGAGGAGATTGTGATAATAGATCTATATCAAACAGAGTATTTGAATTTTGTTGTTGTTGTTGTTGACGATTTGATCTTCTATTGTTATCATCAAATGGATCATCTGAAGGAAGCAGCGACATCTTTTTGTGTTTAGCGCTATATCAGCATCAACAGCAGTAGCAGCAGTGAATCAGAGCAAAGATATGAACCAATTATAATTGGAATTTAAAAACAATTGATGTCGTTTGAAGTTTCTAGTTTCGTTTATGTATTTTCAGTTTTTTGTTGATACTTTTTGTTTTCTTTAAGAGACCACCTAAAACAACGTGCGCGAATCAAATATATAAACTCAGCCAAAACAAAATTTAGGTACTATAGGGAATGCTTGAATCTACAATTTTCTCAACAAAATATTTAATCAATATGCCCGGTATTAATTACTATGCTAATATACAAAGAAATGCCTATATTCTCTTTTTTCTCCTGAGTGATTTGACAGGATTATGAGCTTTTAATGAAAACCAAAAGTAAAGTAAAATCAAATTATTAAATATATATAAATGCCCGGAAATAAATACCCAGCAGAATAATGTACAATGTATTGTTTTATATGCCAAAATGATCACAAGATCTGCTCTAATTTGTTGCCAATTGTTGTTGTTGAGCAGGTTCTTCTTCATATTCAACTTCAACTCTAGCACGTCTTCTTTTAGCCTTATCATCTTTAAGTTGTTGTTTTCTTTTACGTTTCTTTTCACCTTCTTCATCACTTGAATCGGAATCACTATCAGAATCATCTTGATCTTTATGATTATCACCTTCACTATCACTACCATCTAACCATCTTTCTAAATCTTCAACATCAACTAAATCTTCATCACCATCATCTTCAACATATTCAATTTCACCAACATCACTATCATCTTCTTCATCTTCCAATTCACTATCATAATCTTCTTCTTCTTCTTCTTCAATACCTTCTTCATCTTCAACATGACCAAGAACTTTCTTCCATATTTTTTCATCAACATTTAATGGTTTATCACCATAAGCACCACTTTTCAATCTTTCTAATAATTCTTTTTCAATTGCTTTTTCAATCTTTGCAGCAGCAAGAGCTTTTCTTTCTCTATTTTCTTCTCTTCTTTTAACTTTATGTTTAACACCAACATAATGTCTTTCTTCATCTCTCAAAGCTAAACGACGTTCTGTAATTGCAACTTGAGTTAATCTTGTTAATCTTTGTTTACATTTATGAATCAAGAATTTATTCCAATATAATAAATGATTATCAACTTGTTCTAAAGCTTTTGAATAATTTTTTGATAATTTAATTCTTTCCCATAATTTTGCAGGAGTATGAGCTCTTTCTGCAGTCTTCATATAAAGATATAATTTCCCATCAATGTTTTTAACTGTGGCATATCTAGCATTTGCTAAAGGACATGATTGTCTTGAACATAACCCACTAACATTATATTCATTTCTACAAAAATTTTGTTCTTTTGTTGTTTTCAATTTAAATGAACAAAATTGTTGATTAATAACTTGCCAAATGATCTGGGAAAGAGATTATGTTAGTCAATTATTCTATATCATCACTGGGTTATAGTATACTCACTTCATCAGACATCTTTACTTATATATTCTTTGACAATTAATATTAACAAGATCAATATGTCTTCTTCTTAAAATAAAACTTTTCTTACTTTGTTTTCATTATACTACTACAAAAAAAAAAGTAATTTTAAAAAAAAAATTTTAAAATTTCTTGAAACGGAGCAACAATCTCATCGGATATTATTGATTACGTCATCAACATCGGATTATGTAATATTCACGTGACAATAATTTAAAATGAATTACCCGGAATTTTGAATTTCAATCTGTCAATTTTACAAAGTGTCAATAGTGATTTTGATATACTCTATTGGGGCCATATGGGTATTTATATCATACTTTGTGTATATGGTTAACAGATTACCCAAATCACAATATGTCATATCAATCCATTGCCTTCCAATTATTCAATCTAAACGATTATGGAATCAAATTATTCCCATCTTTCAAGATTGATACACTTTATTTAGCAAAATTTCAAATTGTTGAAAAATTCCCAGAACAACATGATGATATTGATGAAGGAAGTTCACAAAGATTTGATAAATTATTATTAATTCCATCAAAAAATGATAAAGTTCAATTATTGAAAAATTTCCCATTTACTGCATTATTAAGAGATGAATTGGTTCATTTGAATATTACAGGTTCAATTGGTCCCTTAGAGAATGGATTACCATTATTTAATGTTGAATATAATTATATCTTAATATTATATTTTGATACACAGGAAACTGTTAATAAATTATTAAATTATTTAACCAATACAGGATTACAATCAATAAATATTGATAATATAGATAAATTTATTAAAGATAAAGAAGATGAAATTGATGAAAAATTATATAAAGAATCTCATGGTCAAAAAAGATTACAAAAAAAAATAAATCCAAAACATAGTAAAGAAATTCCATTATTATCAACTCATATTAAAATTTTAGAAGATGATGAAACTTATAAAGATGTTTATTTAAAATTAATTAAACAATTTGATGATCTATTTCTACATTCTGAAAATGCAAATTTTGAATATGATTCAAAGATTCAAAAAAATATTGTTTAAAAGGTATTGAATACATTTACTTGAATATATAACCATACAGCATATCATTGAACCCATATGTAATATCAATTCATTTATAAAGTCTACTATTAACCTCTGATTGCTTGCTATGTTAAAAAACAAAATTCAAATATATTGCCGCCAATAAACAAATAGAAAATTATAAAACAAAAGGTAGATATAATCAATTGGAAGCTATCTTTCACTCAAAAATTGCTGAAACTTTAAATGGTAATTCAATTACAGCAGAATTATCAACTTTTGGTTGGAAAAATCCAATAAAATCAATTGAAGTACCATTAATATTCTTTCTTGGACTTGAATAACCTGAAACTTGATATGTAACATGATCTTCATCATTAAATTTATAACTTAAAATTGCATCAGATGATTTTCGTTCATATTTAATTTCTTTCTTTGGAGTTAAATTTGTTGATGAATAATTAGTACTCTTTGTATAAGTATTAGCTGGAGCTAATGTAATTCTAGTTTCTGCCTTTGGGATTATATCAAAATCATTATTTTTTACATTATCATCATTAATTTCAGCTTTGATTGAAAAAGTACCTTCATTTGTTAAATCTTTTGGATTAAATCTAATATAAAAATTTACTGTATCAACAAGTTCACCAGGTGTTGCAAAACCAATTGGATTTAAATTAGCACATAAGATTGATTGAACTAATGTGGCGGTTGAAATTAATTTGAATAATTGCATGTTTGACAACGTGTGCTTTGAATGGCTGGTGTATAAGAACTATCAAGTACTTTAAGGTTCAAAAGGACACTGGAATGAGAGAAAACTCCTCTATTTATATAAATATGTACAAGAGTCTATTATGGTTATGTAATCACGATATATAAATTTAGAACAATCAATAAATCTATGTAATCATACTTGTTAAAATTTTGAAATGTGACTATTTATATTCTCCTCCAAGGATATGTTTAATATTCTTAACTTTTGTATGTTATTGTGTTATTGTATATGATATTATTTTTGTCACATAATTTATATGCAGGGTCTAAGAAGTTAGTCCGATTACTTAATATATCAGCTATATCATATCGATCAGTTAAAAGAGATCTGGGGATTCATTTATTAATAGATTCGAGATGAAGATAGTTACTAGTCAGTGTGACATGGTGTACAGGTCTTTTGATAAGAAATTGGGAAACCCTTATATATAATTCAACTTATTGAAACATTATTTGAAACTGTGTTGATTCAATATCATCACCACTAAACCCACCAATTAAACTAACACTAACATCTTTTCTATAATCTGTATCATCTAGTGTGCTTGTCTTGATGAGAACCTTCAAGTCTTGAACATTATTTGATATTTCCAAGAGTTCATAAATTGCAGTATCACCACCGTCTTGTTCATTCACTGAATCACTATCAATTGAACTTGAAATAGAATCAACTTTAACATTTTCAGATATTAATCGACCATATATTAATAATTGTGATGAGCCTTGTGGGATATTTGTGAATTGTAATGTATATATACAATCTGATCCAGCTATACAGCTTTTTCTCGTCTTTGGTGTTGAATCACATAAAATTATTGAAATTGAAATTAATAACGTAAAGAATTTGTATAGTAACATTATGATCAAGGATCATTTAGCGCTCGGTATAAATTCAACTAAAGATAGAAAAGAGGAATCTAATATGGATACGCTTTAAGTTTTATATCATAGATTCAATTGCTTTATATAGTTTTGAAGTACTGAGTTCATGTTTGTTTGTTCATATGCCTCTCGGGTTCTTAAAGTTTATTATACTTAATTGATTGCGCTTAATGTACATGGTGTTAAAAACGAAGAAATATATTGGCCAATAAACATAAAAAGAAGTATAAAATCAAATATCAACAATACAATTGTTAATCAAAACATAATTGAATCTTTTCAATTCAAAATTGCTGAAACTTCAAATGGTATACCAACTGAAGCACCATCATTAATCTTTGGTTGGAAAATACCAGTAAAATCAATAGAAGTACCAACAACGTTTTTTTGAGGATTTGAATAACCTTCAATTTCAAAAATAACATCATTATCATCATTAGATCTATAACCAAAAACTGCATCAACTGATTTTTGATCAAATTTAATTTCCTTCTTTGGAATTAAATTTGTTGATGATTGATTACTTCTATTTGCAATAAAGAATCCAGAATTTTCTTTATTATCATCATTGATTTTTGCCTTGATTGATAGCGTACCTTCATGTTTTAAATCTTTTGAATTGAATTTGATTTTATAATTTGCTGTATGAACATATTTATCAGCTGCTAAAGCAGAACCAATTGGATTTAAACCAGCACAAACGATTGATTGAGCTAATGTAGCGATTGAAACTAATGTGAATAATTGCATGATGAGAAAGTGATCCTTGACAGACTATGAGTACTTGATGATGGAAGGAAATATAGAATTGAGGATATGAACATGTGGGAGCTCACCTCTATTTATATCTAATATTTAAGCTATAATAGTATTAACTAGTAATATTTATAGCTTCTATCATGGTTATATAATCGCAATCAATATATGATGATTTTAGAACATGATCTTAACAGAGAAATAAAATCCTTAGCTAAGTACAGGGTATATTTTTAACTTTTAATTGTTATTGTTTATTTTTGTCACATAATTCAATATACAGGGTCTAAAACTATTGATCCGATTACTTAACATGTTCTGGATCAGATCACTAAGAAACTTTGGCCAAGGAAGATTTATGATGTTCTTAGATCATGTCATATTATAATGATATCATATTGATTAGAACTGATTTATTAATAGATTTGAACTAAATATGATTTGTACCAGTATATTGTAGTACGCTTAATGTTCAATTGTGGAATCAAGAGTCTGATTACTGTCCGTATATTAAATGAATAGATATAATACATTGATCAAATTGTGACAGGATAAAGATACATCAGTATATATAATATCGTACAAAGTTAATTTCGTAGCTAAAGACATGGAGCGCTATATTTTAACTTAGCGCTACATCTAACATGTACAATATAGTATTAAGAACAAAACTAAAATTTATATTGGCCAATAAACATAAGATATAAAAACAAAGCTAGTTCAAAGAGTGTGTTAAACTGATATCCATGCTGTTCAATGCTTTCCACTTATAAAACAGCAGAAACTTCAAATGGTAATTCAATTGCAGAACCATCAACTTTTGGTTGATAAAATCCACTGAAATCAACAGAAGTACCAGCAACATTTTTTAAAGGATCTGAATAACCTTTAATTTCAAAAGTAATTTCTTCATCACCATTAGATTTATAGTCTAAGACTGCATCAGCTAATTTAGAATCAAATTTAATTTCTTTACTTGGAGTTAAATTTGTTGATGAAACATTACTCTTTTTTGCAATAAATAAATCAACATTTTCTTCATTATTATTGATTTTGGCCTTAATGGAAAAAGTACCTTCATCTGAATTTAATTCATTAGATTTGAAAATAATACGATACTTGGCTGATAAACTTTTATGTTGTGGAACAACATTAGTAGTTGGATTTAAATCTGCACATAAGATTGATTGAGCTAATGTTGCGATTGAAACTAATTTGAATAATTGCATGGTGGACTTGACTTGACTTGATTGTTTGATTGTATAGTAACTATGATGTACCTTGATGATTGATGTAGTTATAGAATTCATATCTGGGTGGGAATTCATCTGTATTTATATAAATGTAAGATTAATTATAACCTGTCTATACTGGTTATGTAATCGCATTCAATATATAAACATGATAAATTTAGAACATAACAAACCTATGTGATTATACTTGTTAAACTTATGAAACTATGACTGGCCATAGTCCTTAAACACATGGTATATGCTGTCAAAATATCATATGTTTTTGTTTTTGTTTTGTAAGTTTATTTTTGTCACATACTAAATGCAGGGTCTTTTGATGTGTATAATTAGATCCGATTACTTAATATTATGGAGATCATAATATAATCAAGAACTATCAGATCATCAACAGATCAATTGAATATTAATAGATTATTGAGTATGGACGTATTCAGTCAGTGTATCTGTCAGTGACAAAGCGCTTAATTGTTTAATGTCATATGATCTTTTGGATTTTGAGATCTAGTCTTGTATATACAGCGCTTAATTAACCAATATACAATTCAATGAGTATATTTGGATTACTATATGATCAAGGCGCTCCAAATGTAAACCATGAATAGATCATATACTACTAGTAGAACCATATCGCTATGAAGATAATGATACATTCCCAATTGTAACAAAACAAACACATATCATATATTAAGTATAAATAACAGCTAAAATCAACTAGAGATCACAACTCATTCACTAAATATCAATTCGTTCTAATGTAGCAGTAGCATTAAATGGAATTTCCACTGCTGATGAAGCACCTTCAGGTCTATAAAATCCATTAAATTTAACAAAAGTACCAGTAACATTCCCATTAGAATCACCATATAATCCTCTAACACTAAATGAAACTTCTTCCCTATCACCATTAAATTTTAAAAATGAAGTTATTGTTTTATTATCATTATATAATTCCCAACCTGGTGTCTTATAATATTTTAAATTATTTGAAATTTTAGTTTCATTAGCAAATACCAATGGTTGATTTTTATCAAATGTATCATCAATTTTAGCATCAATCCAAATTTCACCATTTTTTGAAATTTCACCAGATTGGAATGTTAATGTATAATCAGCTGCATAACTAACTTTTGTATAAGCTTCACCTGATGCTTTCAAATGGTTTAATGGTATACCTGGATGAATTGGTTGATCAAGTGGTGCAGTTGAAATTAATTGAGTTAAAGCAACGATTGAAACTAATTTGGTTAATTGCATTGTGATGAATTAAATATGGTTAAAGTGTCGAGAATATATCTAATTGAATTGAATCTTGAGATCTCATCTTCTTTTTATATAACCAACTTTAAACTCATATGTTAATTACCTTGAAGTTAAGTAATCGCACATTTAACTCATTTAACTTCCTATTATACTTTAAAAACATATCATGACGTTGGTTTAATTATAGTTTGAACTAAAAATGAACCATCTTTTGATTTACATTAACTCCAATTATATATTGTTTTCTGTTTGTAATTCTGTAATTTTACGTTTTATTGTTTTTAAGTTTCAAAGGCTTAGAATTTTATACTGTGGTTCTTTCCGATTATGTAACAGCTGTGTAATCAGTATAGCTATGAAGTTATTTTCGAATATAAAGTCATTATACAATGATCAACTAATCAATATAAATGATATGTATTAAATATTATAATGTATTATATAATGAAACATGATATACTTTTAAAATCAACTCCTTATTATTATTATATATTATTATGATTCTCCCATATAAACTAAAAACCTTTTTAAACCAAAACACCAAAACCAAATAAGCTGAAAAAAACCACACAATTGTGTGAATATAAGTTGCTGATTGTACTGCGATCTCAATGATCATTCATTCAACATTACTTTTGAAATACAAATTGATATATCATCTAATTTACCACCAGTTATAAATTGATTACTTAATTCATTAACTTTTTCAACATATGGACAAACACAATAATTATCATATGCAATATTTTTAGTTTTATAAAGTAAATGATTTGAAACTTCTTGTAAATTTGTTAAATCTTTATTTAATTTCCCCATTATAATATCTAAAATTTCATCTTGATATAAATTATCTGTAACACCATCTGAACAAATCAAGATTAAATCATCTTGTTCCAAGGGGAAATCTTGAAATTGAACAACTGATGATGGTAATTTTTCTGTTTTAATTGTAGTACCAACTTGTTCGGGACTAAAATTTGAAATATATTGTTCTTTATTTGTTTTAACAATTTTACCTTGTCTAATAATGAAAATTTTAGAATCTCCAATATTCATAATTTTTAAATTTTTATCAATAATCATCCCCAAGAGTAAAGTTGATGAACCATTAAAATTATCATTCTTCATAATTTGTAAAGAATCTTTATATGCATAATCTAAATTATTTGATAAATCAGATTCTTTAATCTTGGATAAATCATTTGAATTATAAAATGATAATTCACTAAAATTTCTACTTATATTCTCCAAGAATGAACGTGCAAATAATCCAGAATTTGCATGAGCTCCACTCCATCCACTAACACCATCTGCAACTCCAATTAAATTTGGTGAAACAATCATTGCATCATCACCATTCTTTATAGATAAAGTTTCAATAGGATTCCCATATAATCTTCTTCTTGGTAATAATGACAGATTATTTGAAGAATCTGTTAAATCCATTAATGAAGAAATTAAAGGTTTTGATGAACCACGACCATGATGAACAAAACTTGCAAAACTATATTCAAATTTAAAAAAATCTGAATTTGATTTTTTTTTAGATGAATTAATTGATGAAGGTGTTGATGTTGAATTTGTTATTGGTTTATAATAAAATCGTGGTGTACCACTTGATATATGTTGATCTGATTCAACTTCTTGTTGTTGATATTGATGATTTTGTGAACTTGAGGTGTTTAATGAATGTTGATGAGAATTATTTTTTGTAACGAGCCGTAGAACATTATTCCAATAACGGTTCCCACTCTTAGCAACCGTCTTGAGCATTATTTTAAAGGATAAGTAACCTAGTAGTCTACCTTATAATTCAATAAATATTGATCTGATGTAAAGTATATTAAATTGTACAAGTCAAAAAAAAATTAAAATCTATTATATAAGAACAAAAAATAAAAAAATTACACGTAAAAATTTCGCGAAACGCAAAAGAAAAAGGAACGCGCTGGTTTGAGCCACATATTTTGACACAAAAATTTATAAGTAAGTAAAACTAATAATTGTGAAGGACTTATTTTATATGAAGAGGCATATTTGATTGAGGTTTTGGTTAATGTTTAGTGTATCTACTTTTTGGTTTTTCAACGGTTAATTTATGATGTGATTTGGTGAAGTTAAGGTGGGTCTATTCGTTATTGACTGAGAACTGAGAACGATCATGAGAAGATATAGATATATGCGTCTTCATAGGTAACTATTTAAGAAAGTCAATGAACGATTATTTACAAAGTTTCTCTTCATCACTTGACATCCCCAATATTTACCTGAAACCCCAGTTTGTATGTGATGATGGTAAACTGCCGGAAAATGTCTGTTCCGAGACAGGGAAAATATCTTTTATTGAAACAGTCTCAGATCATCAGGTATGAATTTTGAAGTGTTGGTGATTAGAGAGGAGGTTTCATTGGTTCAGTGTGGATATTGAAGTATACCTAGCTTCTTCTTTTTTGCATCTTCTTGGTCTATTATGTATGTGTTATGTATGTATGGTGTGGTACTATATATAAAGCAAATTTACAACTTTCCAATAAAAGCAACCTCAAGAGTCAAGACTCAAATAAACACGAGATATCTTTACGAACATATTTATACTATTGTATCAATATTAATGAACTACGCAAATCATGAGATCATCAGCACTCTGATCGATATGTAAATCTTGACCAGATCTGTTCCCAAAAACATAAAGTTTCCATATACGTATATTACAAGCAATTAACAAAAATTATAAACACATGAATGACTATTTACCATTTGGTCCCTATTCAAATCCTTCCTTCACTTTCCCTTGATGTAATCTTTAACTAAATGTTGTTTCAAATTGTGTAGAATCACCACCTTTAACACTAAATCCACCAAATATATTAAGACTAACATCTTTTGGAAATTTTGATCCATCAATTGTACTAACTGAAATATAAAGACTAATACTTTCATTATTTGAAATATTTGTTGGAATTGGATATGAAGCATAAACTGATGTATCACCACTTGGTGAACCAGGAGGATGGAACCCACCATCTATATTTGATGAACCAATAACTTGTAAAACTTGAACATTTGAACCAAGTAATCTACCACGAACTGATAATGTTGATGAGCTATTTATTGGAATTTGATCATTTGTAAATGTTAAAGTATAATTACCCTTTGAATCTGATAATGTTTTAAAAAAATTTGGAGTTGAATCAACTGATAAAACAGTTGTTATTGAAACTAATAATAATGTTAAAAAAGTTTTAATAAATAGCATAATGTATGGGGTATCTCTTATGTCTTTAATGCGTATACAAATAAAAATCTAGAAGAAACTTTTGAAGGAAACTTTTCTGTTTTTATATGATTATTGAGTAACCGAGTTTTCAATTCATCCAATCAGTAAAGATATGTACCTAATTTAACGCCTTTATACTTATGATAAGTTAAGTATATCGGGAATTACTATTTCAGTTCCAAAGTAAAACTCGGTCAAATTTTTTCCACTCTTTGCATACTTTTTGAATTATGGTTCATTACTCATAACAAGACATGTCAACGTGGAGAAGAACATGATCTGTATTTGAACTAGACTCATAGAACAAGAAGGTATAGATCTAAAGTTCAACTCTTTTTGTTTTGTACTGGTATGTTCCTGAATATAATCGTTGAAACTCGTCTTTTATCGAAAATCTTTTGAAAATTTTAAACTTCTATTATGAAGATCTTTCCCACAAAAAGAAAAGATTGTTCCAGACTCGAACATAATGAAAACTACACCACAATTTCATATAAAATCAAAATGTATAGTTAAAATATAGAAAAGGTATCATAAAGAAGTGAAATTAGATCTGTTCATTTCGTTGCAAACGGGAAAAGGCCAGACTTATAATTCAGAAGCAATATCTTTATATTCAATATCATCACCACCATCTGGATCAAAAGAACCATTAAGATTGAATTTTAAACCTTCACCAAGTGGACCATTACCAACACCACCACCATAAATAGTTAAAGTTGCAGGTTGACCATCTCCATTATAATTCCAAGTACCTTTAACATGAGATTGATAAAATTCTGTTCTACCAGCTACATATAAATTTTCACTATAATGAACACCTGAACTTTTATCAAGATCTGTATTTTCTGAACCATGATCAATTAATCCAATATCTAATGATAATACACCTTTATTATGTATATCGAAAACAACTTCATATTTAAATCTTTCTTGACCATCTACTTTTGTAACTGAAACTGATGGATCTTTATCAGCACGTCCATAAATTGAAGCAGCTGAAGTTAATTGTAATGAAGCTAAAGCGTAAAGTGCTAATGATTTGAATTGCATTGCGAGTTGATTGATTGATGATGATACTCATTAACATTCATACTTTACTCATTTCAACGACATTTCCTTGTGTATTTATAATGTTTTCAAATGGAGTTTAATAAGTTTTGATGAATTACGCTATAAATAGAGATCTCGTATAAACCCTTTTGCGATTACGTAATTAGTGTAAATAATCAACAGATCGACTAATTCCACAGTTTATCAAAGAATGAACCCACAGGTTGTAATAGGGTTTGAGAAATATTGGTAACATATGTCATAGAGTACCATATGTTAAGGTTTGTGTTATTTTTGGATATTGAACGCTAATCATGGGTTCAATTGTATCGTAATTTTAATGTGTCTCGAAGTAAGGAAGTATACAAAGAAGCTCGAGATGTTCAGGATGTTCAACGATCTTGAATGTTGGATATTACTAATATTGAATTTGAATAATTGATTTGTAATACTTCATGGTTATAATGTATCATGGCGATATCTTTGCTAGCTGATAATGTTTTGGTATTTCTTCCTTGTGGATTGAAATATTTTCATTTTGATTGTACCTTGTTTATATCTGGATATGTTCAATATGGATATAAACGCCCAGTACTGTCTTACAAGATATGCAGGGGAAGACTCTTTGACATGATTCTTAGCTTTTATTGAATATGTCACATACTAACTCATAAAATAGTTAGGTACTAGATAGTAGGGACTCGGGAGCTACATATTAGCCATGTACTTACTACTAATACAACTACAGTAATTCAGATTTTATAAATCAATGTGTCATATTTCAGCTAGTCATATATAGAAATCTTTGTCTCATTACAATAATATTGCAAGAGTATCACTTTAGTTGATTAATTCAGTTATCATTTGGTTGATTTTTAATTTCAGTAGTAGATTTAGAGAAACCATAACCCTTTTCACTATCTTTTGGAGTGAATTTACCGGCAGCAAGGATTTTAGCACCATCAATTTTTTTACCTCCATTATTAGCATAAAGACTTAAAGTTGCAGTATTACCATCTTCTTTATAATTCCAAATACCTTGACCATATCCATCACCAAATTTAATAGAATCTTTAGAAACTGGTTTTAAATTTGTACTTGATAAAATTCCAAAATCATTATCCCAACCAAATTTATCTGGATTAGTTTCTGATAATGTAAAATTAACACTCAAGACACCTTCTTCAAGTTTTAATCCATCTTTAAAAATTAATTCATAATCGAAATGGGTATGATCTTTATCATATGTAGCTTTAGCAATGGCAGATGGGATATCATCACGAGCATTGATAGAAGCAGCGTTGGTAAATTGTAATGAAGCTAAAGCAGCGAAAGCTAATGATTTGAATTGCATTTTAAGTTGTATATAGTTGTAATTATCTGATTTGATATCGTTGATAATGTTGATATATAGATTTCAATTTGAATTAAATGAGAATATCTTCTGATATTTATAATAAATCTTGACAATTAATGAAGATTAAAGATCACAACCATATGAGTGTCAAGCGTCAAGAGACACATTTGAGCTATTCAATCCTCTTTCCATGGAATGTATCATTAAATCATATCTGATGGTATGTCCAGTATGATCTATCATTAGAGTCATGTTTTTTTTCAAATAATATAGCCATCAAGCATGAATTAACTAGCAACTAGTAGGGTTCAAGGCTTGAAGAACAACTAATTATAGAACATGATCTTAGTGAAGCAAAGATATCCTATCGTATCCAAGGAAAACAATTGCTGATCTGTAGATCTCGTTTGAATTTTAGTAATTTGTGTAGCATCTTTCGAATCTTGAATTTAGTGCAATAGAAGATGCTTTAGGAAGTTAAACTTTTTCAACGTAATTACCTCATATTGAATGTCTATATGGATTTGCAACTCTGTTAATTTGATCATATAGATCGTTAGCAATCACATTATATGTTCTAATTATAACACAATTGAGACTAATTTGATGAAGTACTCATGAATATCTTCCCTTCATTCCAGCAACTAATTCAATCAATCCATAGTCAACATATATCTAAATTATTCAACCACAATATATCAATGATCAGCTTAATTTATCTTGATCTAAGCCTATATTGATTGCCCCAGAGTAATAAATCATGATCAAATATGAGTTTCGAATTTATGGGCATTGGGCATTGGGCATTGGGTACATACGTTGATATTTCTAGCTGACGTTGAAAATTGATATTCAATATGAGTTTGTTTATAGATCCACGATAATCTAGGTGAAACTTGAAAATCATAACATTAAAACATATCCTTATAAAACGTTCTTAAGACCTTCTAAAACCGGGTCTTAATTAGGCTGTTTCCCTTACTTGAAATACCTAATATTACTCCATGCATGATTCATTAACATAATCAGAAGTTATAGAGTGCCACCATAAAACACGTTTGCCATAAACTCTAATCCTTCAAGTAAACCCTTAATTAACTTTGATTGAGACCTCAATTAAACATCATGACACAATTTCGACAATCCAAGCTTATTTCTCCACCATTTTCAAAACCTCTGTAAATGAACTTTAATCATGATAGTACCTTGAAGGACGGTCCCAATCTCTGGTAGTATGTACGTACGTTACACGTACCGTAAACAACAACCTATTTTAAAAAGTCTGCCGATTACTTAAGCTCAATCCAAACGCACAATTCTGGATTTACAAACGCATACTCGTAAAGTTTATAGCTTCCATTTGAACCACGTTATAAGCCCCTAATCCTTTAATTTCCTTTGATTTAAACCACAATATATTGATTAAGTAAATTGTAATTCGTTGAAAGACCCTTTAAAAATTCAAAATTATTTCCAAAAAAGTTTAAAATGAACTATACTAATAG